ATATTCTGGTGAGTGTGAGGTGGTATCTCCTTGAGAGTTTGACTTACATTCCCCTAATAACCAGTGATGTTGAAATTTTTTTTTTTAATCCTCATGTCAGGACATGTTTTCATTGATTCTAGAGCAAAGAAGGGAGGGAGAGACAGAGAGATGGAAGTGAGTGAGGGAGAAACATCGACTGGTTGCCCCTGGCGCTCACCCCCACGCACATCAAACCCTCAACCTAGGTATGTGCCCTGACAGGGAATGGAACTGGCAAACCTGCAGTGCGTGGAACGACACTCCAACCAACTGAACCTCATGGCCAGGGCACATTGAACTTCTTTTCATGGGTTTCTTGGCCATTTGTACATCTTTGGAAGAAATGACACTTAGTGATGACCTCCACTGCTTAATGCTGCATTGCCTGCCACGTACTCACAGTAAAGTAAGGATGGAAGGGCTTTGTGTGAATACAAAAGTCAAGATCCCGCCTTCCAAGACACCATCTTGAGAACTATCTGGGCTCAGACGTTTCAGAGCTTTGAAAGGACAAACTGTTGGTCCTGCAGCCTCTAACTATAAAAGAGGTCCAACAAGGATCAGCCTTTATGGATCTTGAGGACAGTGTATCCCAGAGGTGGAAATTTCACTCAGGCTGACGCTGCAGTCCCTGGCTTGTGCATGCTAGACCCCTTGGTCCATGTTCCCCAAGGAGAAAAGCGCGTCTGAACTCAACTGGCAAGACTCACAAAGGGGGAAGGAAAGCTGAGACCTTGGGAGGCAGGGCCCTATCGGCCAATTCAGTGTGCCGCTGTTTGTGGTTCCCATTGATGTTTTACATGTTCATACTGTGAATGTCCCCTAAGTATCAGGGGACCGCGGTCCTCCCCGTGGTGGTCGACAGGAGCAACGCAGAATCCGGAAGGAGAAAAGGAAAACCACAGCTTTAAGGACTTCAGGGCTGTCAGAGGACTGAGGCCTCTTGCCGGGACAACAGCGCCACCTGCCGGACTCAGCCACCACGTACACCCCTTCTCAGAAAAGGCAGCTGTAGTTGCTTTTAAGCTTCTCTTGGAAAAACCTCTGCCCTCCCCTTCGGAGGCGACTCCCTTGGCCTTACATTTCCATTTCGGAGTAGGTCAGCTCAAACTGGACAACGAGTGAGGTCTGAAATGGTTAAATGTGACCGGTATATTCAAGAGTGCAGCCTGCCGGTCCTCTCCATCTGTTTTGCAATGGAAAAGTAGCAGCTACCCCTTTGGAGGAAATATTAACCACGACTCTGCCTCCTGAAGCATGGCTGCTGGCTCAGTAGGGGGCCCCCCATTTACACAGGTTCCCGTAAAGGTTGGGGCCTGGTTCTCTGCCAGTTGAGCTAAGTGAAAAGCTGATGGCGTCCACCAGGGCGCAAAATCCAGCCGACCCATAAGACAGATTGCAGTCAGTCCACAGTTACGTGCTCGACGGGACTTTCTACTTTCCCGGCCGCCCAAAGGCACCTGGTGTTACTGTTGGAACAGTTGCCTCCCAAGTTAGTTCAAAAACATGTTTCTGACTCTACCTTCTTCTCCTCCTCCTGGTCCACACACCACAGTCAAGGAGTTCGGTCACTAAATGTGTTTCCAGGGCGCTTCATCTCGGCCGCTTTGTGGGCAATGACGGAGACAGAGGGGGTGGGGGAGTTACACGGTCCTGCTGTGGAAATGAAAGAGCTGCCTCCTGGCCATTCTCGAGTCGCCCTTCTTTCTGCTGGGCAGCCTGGCAGTGACACCGTCCGGGTGACAGCCTGGCCCAGAGCCGGCCAACCAGGGCGTTCAAACCGTTGGGCTGGCCAAAAGGTCTGTTTAGTTTTTTCCATAAAATAAGACATATTTTTCACTTTCACCAATAACTTTATTGATTTGGATATTTTGAGTCCGTCGGCTCTCCCCCACGTAGTATAACATTGATTGTTCTCAATTAAAGTCTCGGTCTCATCGCTGTCGGCTTCAACTCATCTACCGGACCGTAGGGCACCGTCTAGGGAGAAACCTGCAGCACGAAACTTCGCAAACCACTTTTGACATGTTCAATCACTCACAGCACCTTCTCCATACAGTGCACATATATATATATATATATATATATATATATATATATATTTTATTTTGCTTTTCACTTGTGGTTTTACCATCCTTGAAATAATAAAGCATGATATGCTGAAACTGTTGCATATTTTCTTCCATCTTCAATATTAAGACGGCTACACAAAACTTTGCCAATTTTGATGTTATTTTTGAACACACGCTGATACGACAGTTTTCACAATACAATCCAACAAAATTGTTTCAAAGGAAGTTAAAGACAGCTAAGCGCTGCTAGAGACATTGTATGGAAAAACCAAACGAACTCCTGGGTCAACCCAAAAGTCTGGTTTAGCCCCCAGCATTCTCTTGTTGGTCTGATGCAGCCCTAGGTCAGGGGTTGGCAAACCATGGCCTGAAGGACAAATGTGGCTGGCCAGCTAAGGGTGCTTTTTGCAAATCTAAAGAGTTGTAAGAAACAGAGGAGGCTATGCAGTACACCCCATTTGTCCAGCAAAGACGAAAATATTTATTATCTGGCTCTTTATGGGAAAAGACTGCTGGCTCTCACCTTGGCTGCAACAACTTGCCGGTGCTGCCCGTGTGGCTCAGCTGAACCCTGTAAAGGCCATCGGGTCAAGGTTAACGACACACCCACCCACCCATCCGGGCTGCAGCCCACTCCAGGGGGCGCCACATTCCCTAGGCTCGCCAAGCTCCCCGTACACCAAGGTTACCTCCCGTGTCCTCATTTTTCCCACCAAGCTGTGGAGGCACCTCAGACTGGGGGATGCAGGTCACGTGCCAGCACCCCAGGCGCATGCGCAGGGTGGGGGGCGTTTAACCTAATGGGGACACGCGAAATGAAAGGATCCCAAACTAGGACAGAGAGGGCCTCCACCCACCCTTCTCCCACCTCAGCCTCTGTCTGGTTGTTAGACCTCAGGGCCGCTCTTTCTCTCCCCTGAGCCTCCCGCAATATCCAGGAAAGGAGAAGAGGGAGGAGCCCAGGAGAGGGCCCCCCTCCTCCCTACGCTTCGTCTAAGGATTAACAAGGACGCGGGAGCTTGTCACGGCCCCTGGGACAGTGTCCTCCATGCCAAGGGCAAGGACTTCTCACCCCCGACCTGCCGCAAAACCACCTGAGAGCTACATCTCTGCGTGACTGAGGACGCACCCTCTGCCATGGCTTTTCTCTTAACCCCGCCAGACACTTGACAAGGCCGGTCTGCGTGGCCTGTCCGGGCCGTGTCAGGGGAAGAGGGGTGGCGGTGGGGGCGACGGTGTAACGGGGGTCAGGCTCACCCCGCCCAGCTCATTTCTGGGGCTGGGTCATCTCAGAGCCCAGGTCCCCGGAGAGCAAGCCAGGAGACAAGAGGCCAGGAGGGCATCTTGGGAGCAGGGAGGGTCTGGAAGCTTCTGCCTCTGGCCTTTGCAGCGCTCTCCAAATAGGGTTGTAGAAGCCATTACACTGGGGATGCAAGGAGGAGAAAAAAAAACAGAATTTCTACTTTAAAAATGTCTCTTTTTTTAAAACCCCAAGAAGCAAAATAAATTAAGCTTTCCTGATATTAAGTATGTAGAATGACAGTAGTTCACACATAAGTTTTCTACAGATGTTAGGAAGAGTGTCTCAAAATGTTGTCCCTGAAAAAGTGTGATAATGTTTAAAGACCTCCGAGGTGAATAAAAGGTGACGGAAAACAGGCGAAGATTTGGCAGGTGACTGGGAACCACAGCGGTGGCGGAGTTGGAAGTGGGCATCGGGTCGCAAGGTCAACGGTCATGACCTTTGGGGCGTAGTGTGGGGGGAGAAGAGTTTTCGCCCAGGAAGCCACTAAGGGGTAGGATTCCTCGAAGGTGCCTCCCTCCTGCTGAGTTGCTTCAACTCCGTTTGACTCCAGAAAAGTCCAGGTGGTGGTACCGACTCCCACCGACAACTCTGCTTGGCCCCAGGTTCTCCAAGGCTCCTCGGTCCTGAGCCCCTGGGAAGGGATGCACCTCCCAGGCCTAAGTGGGCGAGACTCTGCCCCAAGTTAAGAGGAAAGCATGGAGCCAGCTGAGAGGGGCCCTGCAGCTGAGAGAGCTGCACGCCGCCCTCCCGGGAGCAGCCCGACATGGCAGGTATAGGACAGATTTCGTAGGATTCCCCAGCTACCAGCCTAGATTTAAGGGATCACCCGCGTTCTGGTTTGAGCGATATTGACTGCTGCAAAGTGGCCGCACAGTCTGGCTCAACTCCGGGACAAAGCAGGGCCTAGAGACTCAGTATCCGTGTCCCGAAGGCAGAGCTGGTCGGGGTCACCAGCTCGGACACGCAGTTCACCAGAGGTTGGCGATTTGGAGGGTGCGTGGCGGGGAGCTGCTCACCGAAGGAACGCGTCCCCGTCCCCGCGGGCTGACTCAGGCCCCGCAGCATTGCGGACCGCCCACCCGTTCGGGGAGGGCCGCCCCGCGGGGGAGTTCACCGCTCCCCCCCCCCCGCCCCCCGCCCCAGTTTGGCGGTGGATCAGGGGCTGGAGAGAGCACCGCCCCTCTGCACGGTAACTGGGGAGCGGGCTTCTGGAAAACGCTGGGATGCCCATCTCCCTCAGGCCAAAGCGGTGCCCCCGCTTCACAGGGAGAACGGGGGCGCTGGGTCCAGCCCCGGGAGCAGCTCGGTTGATTCTTCTTCCGCTGGTCCTTCTCCCGTCTCAGAGCAGGGCACCCCCCCCCCGCCCCCGCCGCGCTTAGCAGAGCTGGTACTAACTATCCCAGGAGACGAAGGAGCCCCCGGGTCCCGTGCCCATTGCCTCCCAAGGCCAAACGAGTGATGTCACCGGTTGCTAGGTAAGCTTCCCACGCGCCCCTCCCCTTCCTCTCTGGCAGGACCCACGATTCCCGTCAATAAATGGACACCAGAGCTGCCAGTTATAGGACAGATTTGCTCCTCGGACAAACGGGCAGAGTCACCAGTTACTGAAACCACTTCTTTTGCAGGTTCGCTTCCTTGGCGTCCCTGCCTCTGTCACTGCTGACGACGGCCGTTGGTTTCCGGCTCGCTTGCTTCGAAGGGGACGGGCTGGCGCCCCTCCCGGAGAAGGCGGACGTCAGGGAGGAGATGAGGGGCAGGCTGAAGCGGGAGGAGCTCTCACTCTGCCAGTGCCAGGGCATGTTGAACTGCCACAGGGAGTCCAGGTTCGAGCCCCTGGCCAGGGGCAGGTTGGACGGCTGCAGCGAGCTCTCGCTCTGCCTCTCCTGCGGCTCGGAGCTGGTCTTGGTCGAGTGGTGCCTCCCCCACTGCGAGGGCTTGCTGGGCGGCACGGTGGGCTTCCTGGGCAACTGCATCTTTTCAAAGGCCTCGCTGACCACGCGGTCCTGGAGGTTCCACCACTGCAGAAGCGGGTAGACCGGGATCGGCAGGAAGGTGAGGATGGCAAGGATGGCGACCCAGACTCCCAGGCTGCTCTGCATGTAGGGCTGTTTGACTTCATGGCTCTAGAGGCAGAGGGCGGTCAGGGTGGAGGGCAGAGATGGTGGTGTCGGCTTTAATCCAGGTCACGTGGAGAACCAGATTCCCCAGGGGCTGGGAGGCTGGCTAGACGCTCCCGGGCGGTGGTAGGGGCACAGGTCCAGGGTCCTGCAGGGCGGGAGATCCGACCGAGGGTCGCCAGCGCGGGGTGGGAGGGCAGGGTGGAGTCTCACCAGGCTGCTGTTCCAGGTGATGTAGTAGTGGGGCTGGCTCAGGTAGAGGTTAGTGAGGCAGATGGCGAGGATGGACAGCAGCCCGGGCGGGGTCACATAGCGCCACAGGAAGATGAAAAAGGACCACAGCAAGTGGCCGTGATCGCCGTACATTTCTTCCCGGAACCTGGGGTAGGGGCGAAGGGCACGGACATCTGGGGTAGAGCCCGCCTCTGGCCCCTCCCCTGTCCGCCCCCCCTCCCCGGGCCGGGTGCTCTTGGGAGGACAGGCCCGCCAGCCCTCTGGCTCTCTCACAAGTTCTTCACTCAGGGGATGGGATGCTGAGTCCTGCCAGGTCCTTCCCCAGGTGGGGCCCTGCAGCGGGTCTTTCGCCACGAGGATCCCCCCATCCAGGGGGTGTGCGCGGGTCCGGCCCTCGGCCTTCGGACTAGCCCCATGTGGTCCGCAGCGGAACCTGAGTCCCCTAGGCCCCCGACTGCTGTTCTCTCGGGACCCACCCAGCTGCCTTCTGATCACTCCCTGCGGCCCTCCCGGGGCTCTCAGATTGTCCCCCAACTCTCCTGGGAGACCTGGGCTGGGGTCCCTGGCTGGGAAGACCCTGGGGCTGGAACATCACCTGTTAGCTCCATAGACCCAGGCCAGGGTCACGTTCTGGAAGATCACAATGATGACAAGGGTCAGCGGGACCACATGCTCATCAAGGAAGGATATTATGTAGCTGCCTGCTTTACTGGTGAAGACAAGGCTGCCCAGAAAACCTCCCAAGCAGACGACCCCTAAGGCAGAGGCAGGTTTGGTCACACTGAGATCAGCGTGTAGGGCTGGGTCAGGGTCCAAGGGAACCCTGGAGATGCGGGAGGCCTGGCAGGGGCAGGGCGGGGCAGGGCACGGCAGGAGGGCGGGGTTTTCACTGGAGTGAGGATCCACAGTACCTACGGGCAGCAAGGGGTACTGCCTGAAGACGGAGTTCTGGAGGGGAAAGAGAATGCCTTCCAAGATTTTCATCAAGGTGCTCAGTCCCATGATGATCAAGACGAGGAAGAGGAGGATGGCCCAGAAAGAGGCACCGGGGAGCAACGAGACAGCTTGGGAGAAGGCTGCGAATGCCAGGCCAGGGCCCTGCATGACCTGCGGGGGAGAAGGATCTGAGGCACAGGGTGCGGGGGGCGGCGAGTGAGTGGCAGAGCACTGAGGGTTTGCCCTTCCTGGTTTCATAAGCTGTGTGAGCTTCACCTCTTGGGGCCTCGGTTTCCTCCTATAACAAAGAGGAGTCCTAGGGTTGGTGTGAGAATACAAGTAGAGTGACAGCTTAGCAGAGGCCCTGGTACACACGCAACGGTGGGGGAAATGTGATTACAACTGCTGCTTGGGGGGCGGGGCCAGGGGCTCCAGAGAACTGCATTTGCCAGTGTCCTCTGGGGCTTTGGGGAAGCACCCGCCCAGGCCCACAAACACACCTTTCCCTCCTGGGCCCTGATGCTGCAGGGCGGGGAGAAGTGGATGACCTGGTGCTTGAGGTGCTGAGGGAGGCTTTCGATCCAGTTTTCGTAGTCCGGCGGGGTCAGGAGCAGGATGTTCGGCGGGGGCCTGACACCCTGAGGCAGCACCCCCTTGTCTATCAAACTCAGCAGCTTTTGGACACCCCTGAGGGGGAAACGGAGGAGAGGAAAGGTGGCAGGGACCAGGCTGGCCCCTCTGCTCTCGACAAACCAGGGAAACTGAGGACTGGAGAGGAACCAGGTTGCCGAGGGGAGTGTGTCTGAGTAGCAAGGGCAACTGGACAGGCACCGGAAGTGAGTGGCACGGACTTGGGGTGCGTCACCCCGGGCTTCTACCCGAGCGGCAGAGAAGGTGTGCCTGTTGGAGGGCTTCTCCATTTCCCTTAAGTTACCGAATTTGCTGGTATAAATTTGATCATAGTATTTCATTGTTACCCATTTCATGCCTACAGGATCTATAATGATGGTCCCCTTTTTATTCCTGATATTTTAAATCTGTATTTTCTTTCTTTTCTATCGGCTACCGAGAGGGACTTGTTGACATTTCCAACTATGATTATGGATTTATCTGTTTCTTGCTTTAGTTCTGAGATTTGTTTTTTGTTTTGAAACTCTGTTATGAGGCACATAAACATTTAGGTCATCCAGTCTTCCCACTGAGCGGATCCTTGTATCCCTACGAGGCTCCCTTCTTAATCTCTGGCCTTAGTTGTCCTGACTTTGATACTTACGTAGCCACACTAGTTTGCTTATGAGTATTTGTTTGCATGGTGTGTTTTCCCTTTCTCCTCTCTCTGTGTCTTTACACAGGACATCTCTTGTAAACAGGATGTGTTTGAGGGTCACATTATTCAGCCTGGCAAACACTGCCTCTAAGTAAGGTGGTTATTTAGTGTAATTACTGATGTGGTTTGGTTTATGCCTTCCCTCTTGCTATTTGTTTCTTTTTCTGTTCTATTCCCTTTTCCTTCTTTCCAGCTTCTCTTTTTGGGGCGTGGGGAAGTGGTATAATGTCCCCTGTTGTTTTGGGGTTCGTTGGTGATTGCTGTAGAGCTGTGCTGTCTAATAGAGTAACTAACAAGATGTGGCTATGGGTACTTGAAAGGTGGTTAATATGACCAAATAGATTTTAAATTAAATTTTAATTAATTTAAAAAATAAGTACTCAGGTGTGTTGGGAAACTTTTAAGTACATGTGGAAAAACTCGGGTATGTGAAACTGCTTTTTCAAGTGCATGCTTTTGTAAAATCTAATAGAAACCAAAACTTAAGTATTTCCATTCAACCTCAAGAATTTCGCTTAGCACCATCTTGGTAGAGACTGATTAGTCATCAATTCTCTCATCTTAATCTGAAAATGTCTTCATTTTACTTTCATTGTGAAAGGATATTTTTGCTGAATATAAAACTCGGGGTTGACAGATCCTTTTGACATTCTAAAATATTTCATTTCATTGTCTTCTGACTTCCATTGTTTCTCGTGAGAAGTTAACCATAATTCTTATCATTGTTCCATGGTATGCAATATCATTTTGTTAATTTCTTTTTCTAATTTTTAAAATATATTCATTGATTCTCAGGGCGAGGAAGGGAGAGAGAGAGAGAGAAACAGCGATTGGTTGCCTCTCATATGCACCCTGACTGGGGATTGAACCTGCAACCTAGGCGTGTGCCCTGATCAGGAATCGAACCTGCAACTTTTTGATGTATAGGAATATCCTTCAACCAACTGAGCCACTTTCTATTTACATTTGCCTTTTGGAAGTCTGAGCACAATGTGCCCAGGTGTGATCTTTTTGTATTTAGCTTTCATGCTTGGATTTTCTGAGCTTCTGGGATCTGTGAAATGACGCTTTCAATAAGACCTGGAAATTTGCCCACTATTTAAAACAGAAGTTCTGCCCCAAATCCCTCTCCTTTCCTCTGCACCTCCAATTATGCGTATACTGGTCTTACAGGTCACTGATGCTCTGGTTAAGTTTTTCTCATTCTTTTTGCCTCTCTCTGCTTTGCTTTAGCTTCTATTTAGCTGTCTTCAAGTTAACTGATCCTTTATCCTGCTGGTTCCAACCTATATCAAACACATCCGGTGAAACTTTGTTTTCATATACATTTTAAGTGCTAGAGTTTTCATGGGGTTCTTTTTTAGTTTCCATATCTTTCCTAAAATGTTCCCATTGTCCTCCCACGTTATTCATCTTTTCTATTAAATTCCTTAACTTATTTAGAATAGTTGTTTTAAAGTCCTTGTCTGGCCCTGGCTGGTGTGGCTCAGTGAATTGACTGGTGGCCTGAGAACCAAAGGGTTGCTGGTTCGATCCCCAGTCAGGGCACAGGCCTGGGTTGCAGGCCAGGTCCCCAGTAGGGGGCGCATGAGAGCCAACAACACATTGATGTCTCTCTTCTCTTCTCTCCCTCCCTTCCCCTCTGCCTAAAAATAAATTAAAAATAAAAAAGTAAAGTTCTTGTCTGCTAATTCTAATGTCTGGATGATCTTTGGGTCTTTTTCCTTTCAGCCATGGGTTATGTTTCCCCGGGTTTTGGAATGTCTTGAGACTTTTCCTTTTATGCTGGACATTTATATAGAGGAACAATGGAGAAAAGCATGCTAACTGTTATATTTTTGTTTCGTTCCAATAAGTTGAAGCCTTTTATTTCAAGAGGCTAATTATTAAGGGAGGTCAGTGCTAATTATTAAGATTTTTCTAAGAGCTGAGTTGAGCTGGGGCTGAGTGACAGGTTTAATTAGCTGAGTGTTGTCCCTGCCTTCAGATAGAACTAAGGGGAGCTCCCTGTGCCCCAGGAGCCATGCCCCCAACTTTCTGCAACCCCGGCGGGAACTGGCGCTCTCATTATTTGAGTTAGAGCTGGTTGGATTGCAGTGTTATCCTTGTGTTCAACGCCAGGGGGGCCATGAATCTGAGCACCGTAAGGCTACACGCACTCCCTCTGCTTGCCGCCCCTGTCTCTGCCGCTTCAACAAAATGCCTGGGAACAGAGTAAGGCCATTTGTCTGTGTGTTGGGGGCTCTTTGAGATTCCATCGCCTATTGGCAGCCTATACTGGCATTAAGTGTTCGGATGGTTTCTCCTGACCTGTTCAAAGTCCCCCCAGGGCCCCAGAACGGGCGCTGACCCCCAGATAGAGAGATGTTCACGACTCTTTGCTCCCCAGCCAGGGACTCCTTACCCTCTAGGACTTATTTCATCCAGGCTCCTTTGTGCCCTTTGCTCTTCCATAACTTTATGAGGAAATGTGATTTTTATTTTCTCCGTATATAAAATTGCTGCTACCGTGGAAGCCTGCACTTTTGCACGCTCCCACATCCTCACTGGAAAAAAACATTCCACCTGGAGCTTTAAAAAGCCCAGTGGCTGAGTGCAGCCCAGGCCCAGTGGCTCCAATTTGGGGGATGACTCAGACATAGTGTCTTCCGTGTCCTCCCACCCCGATGATTCGAGAAGGCAGCCTGGGCCAGTAACCACGGACTGGGGCTCAGGGTGCTGTAACAGCCTTCTCTGTGAGTGAAAGAATTGACTTAGAAATCTTCTTTTCTGGAAATCTTTGGACAGTTATGGCCCTGAGACTATTTTCTTATCTATAAAGGGGTGGCTACAAGAATATTCCCTTTTTGGCTGTTTTCTCTGAGTTATTAATAGAAATGTGTTGTTCTCCTCCTCCTCCTCCTCATCATTGGAGAGGTTGGAGTCTGCCAGCCCATGAGCCCAGGGGTCGCTAAGGTACAGGGAGGGGGACCGCTTCTCCGACCGGCAAAGCTGCGATTACTCACTTCTCAACACAGGCTTGGCCGCTGTTGGTGGCCCAGAACCCCAGCACTATAAAGATGATGGACGTGGTCAGCAATGACGTCACCAGGTTGACCAGGGCCACCAAGGAGGCCACCTGGACATAGTTGTTGCCTCCGACCTTGTGGGAGATGTTGATGACAGTGCCCAGGCCCAGGCCCAGGGAATAGAGCGTGTGGCCTCCCGCCTGCTGCCACAGCTCCGGGGAGGCCCAGGTAGAGAGCTGCAGGCGGAAGCGGGTTAGAGAGGTTGGGGGGGGGGGGCGGCCCTGAGGGTAGGACCACCACAGGAGGTAAGACGGGCGGCTGGGGCAGAAGGAAAGAAGATGTAGGGGAAGGACATTCAGAGACATTCTGGGGAGCTGAGGGAGGGCAAAAGGGTGGAGTCCCCTGCCTCACCTCTGTTGTCACCATCTGCCTGAGGCTGGTGATCGCGCCTTCCAGGAAAAGACATCGGATCAGGAGGCAGAGGAGGATGACGTAGGGGAGGAACAGCAAGAAAATCAGGATCTGGCCAGGCCATGAGGGCAGAAACCAGGAGTCAGGAGCAGTGGGGGGAGGGGAGAGGCGGGCAGGCGTTGGGGGGCGGCAGGTGAGCGCGAGTAGAGAGGCGGGGCGAGCGGTGTTCAGGTGGCCCGGGTGCCACACAAGGGAGCTTTAGGAGGATCGAGATTCGTTCTAGGGAGATAGCAGTGTTGTTTGGGGGGGGGGGGGGGGGGATCCACGCATACGCTGCTCAGGGATGACACCGGGACCACAAATATAGATGACACGTACATGGTGGGCTGCAGTGGGACATTATTCATCGTGGACCTTGGTTTTATGGCCTCTGAACCGCCCAGGGGAGAGGGCTGTGGGCGCCAAAGGCTGCAGGGAACGACTTCATAGGTGAAGGAGGGGGAGGAAACTGGGAAGAGACTTGGGGAGACAGTGACAGGGCTAATGGGAATTTTAAAGTTGTTGTTGTTGTTGTTGCTCTGGGATAGGTGAGGTAAGGCCCCGTTTGCCGCCCCCCGCTCCCCCACCGTGGGCCCCTACGGAGCCTTCAGTGAATCTGCCTCAGCGTGAGCGGCTTATTTCGGAGGATGTGAAGAGAGGGCGAGCTGGGCCTCCAGGGATGCGCGGGCGAGCTGGGCCTCCAGGGATGCGCGGGGTGAGCGCTGCCGGTGCGGGGGGCCAGAAGATGCCACTTGCGTCACCCAAAGGGACGCAGCGATCGCACTGAAGTGAATGTTCCCGATGCCAAGAGGATGGGGTGGAAGTGCGGATTGGGATAAAATGCTCTCGGCGGCGGGAAACTCGGAAAGGACTCGGCTCCTTTGGGGGTTCGCAGGCCCTGCCCCAGCCTGGCGCGGTGGGAGGTGCCAGGCTGGGGGTGCGGCTGAGTGTCCACAGCTCTGCGCGCAGTGTCGCGGGTGGGGGGGGGGTGAGGAGGGAGACCCTTCCTGCCGTGGGTGGGAGGGGAGCAGTTCTTTGTGAGAGGAGTGGCTGACATAGCTGCCTGAGGAGAGTCGGTGCCTCCCTCAGGACCGCCGCTGGGGAGGCTGGGTGGCCATAACTGAGCTTGTCCTCCGGGCGAGTGGGAGGGTCGTGGGGGTGGGAGAAGAGAGGTCGTCAGGAAGGAGCTGGGTGGAGTGGGGACAGGGATCCCGAGGCGCTCAGGGTTTGTGAAGGTAGCGAGGTGGTGGGGGCTCACGTGCATTGAGCTCTTCAGGCCTGTGGCCATGATGATGAAGAGGAGCAGCCAGGTTAAGAAGATGTCCAGGGTGAGGTTTGGGACGAGGGCCTTGACCCCTTCTTCAATGTAGCCGGGGGCATTCAGGATGGTGTGGTACCAGAAGTACTGGTGGGGCACAGTCTGAAGGCAGGAGAGGCCTGCGGGCCCAGGCGCTTAGGCGCCCCTCGCCTGGAGCCTGCGCCTGCCCTTCCCTTCCTCCCACCCACCTCTGTCTCCTTGGTTCCCCTGCCTCCTGTGGCCCTGCCGGCCCTCTCTCTCCCTCTCCTCACCGGAGACATTGCTGCTCTTCACCCGTGGGCACTCGGTCCAGGGCAGGGGATAATGGAAGGAGTTGGCCAGGTAGGAGAAGCTCCAGCTGATGACGGTGCTGTTATACAGGCTGATCAAGACGCACACCTGGGGGTGGACACAGAGGGCGTGAAGGGCGAGCAAGGCGGAGACGGAGGACTGGGAGACCGCACGGGGTGGGATGTGGGGGCCGGGGCGGCTCTTGGCCAGGCCCCTCATTCACCAGCATGTTAGCATAGCCTATGCCGCCCAGCCAGGGGACAAGCTGCTTCCACAGCTGGATGTTCTCCACTCTCAGCCATTGTCCCAAGATCATCTCCATGTACAAGAGGGGGGTCCCGAACAAGAGGAGCATGAAGAAGTACATCAGGATAAAGTCACCTGGAGAAGGAAGTCAGGAGCTCTGCTCAGGCAGCCAAGAGTCCTGGCCACCCTCCTCCTTGTCCCTAGGATCCTGGGTGCCCTCCCTGAGCTCCTTCCCCACCCCCGGACCCAGGGGTCTCGACTTCCATCCCTAAAACTCCTTTCTTAAACTCAGGAGCCGGAGCCCTGGCCGTACCTCCTCCATTTTGATGACACAGGTAAGGGAAACGCCACATGCTGCCTAGCCCAATGGAGAAGGCAACCTGGATCAAGATGGTCTCTGTTTTTTTAGTCTGCGTCAGGTAGTTTTGGGTCTTGGAGACCAGCATTTCCTTGGCTGTGAGCCTCAAGGATGGGGATTTGAAAATCTGAGTTGACTTGGAGGTCTCTCCCTCTGCCATTTCTTCAAAGGACTTCATGCCTTTCTTTGGACAGGTCCACTAACTCCTGAGGGAATCCTGGGGTCACCAAAAATAGCAGACTTTAAGGGATATGTCTCAGATACCAGACTGTAAAACTCCATGAGAAAGAAGATTTTAGAACAATGAGGGCTAGAGTTTGAATCTTAGCCCTTCTCACTAATTATTGACTTTGGAAGAACATTTTCACCTCTTTGAAACCCAGCTTTTTTCTCATCTTATGAACACAAAAGAATTTCAAAGTATTTAATAACTGTTATAGCATAAATGCTGACCAATCAGATTGTGGAACAACTTATGCTTTAGTGTATTGTCCAGAAAAAAAAAAAAAAAAAGAGCAATTCTCTGGAATTTAGTGGATCCTAAAATCTGGGTGTGATCCGGGGAAGAGAAAATGAGAGCTTTCCTAAAAGCACGTCATCCTGAAGTTCTGGTGGAAACCTGAGGCTGTGCCTTTGATTGTATTGCATGATTCAGCCCAGGAATGCAAGGTTGGTTCAACATCCGACAAGCTGGCCACCTTTTGGTTCACAGGACGATGTCCACTCCACTGAGCCACACCAGTCAAGGCTGTGAGTATTTCTTGAAACTGGATATTATTATCCACATATTATGTATTGGATATTGTTATATATTACATATAAGATATAAATATGTTAATATATTCTATGAACATATGTATGTGTATGTCTTACCAATCCAATATTATTGAATATATCTTATTCAGTATTGTTAAACACATAGTATATAAGTATATACTTTATGAACATGTGTGTGTATGCCTTACAAATTGGAGATATATGTGTATATATATATATACTTTTTATATCATGAGTATTTTCCTATGTAATTAAAAAATTGTAAAATATTTTAGTAGCTACTTCATATCCTTTAAAATATTTTTAATAGCTGCTTAATATTCCAGAGTCCTTCTATAAACCTGACCAAGTCGACCCTTTGCTGAAACCTTCCCGGGGGTCCTGCCAGCCTGGTTTAGTTTCCCACCCAGGGCCCCTCCGGATCAGCTCCTGCTTCGGGCTCCTGCTCCCACCTCTCACGCTGCCTCCAGCGGCAGCCACGCCCTTGTCACCCCTTCGAAGCCTTGTGCCTGCAATTCACGCTGCTGCCGATGCTCCCTCTGCCTTCACCTCCAGGAGCGGTCAGCCCAGGGAGCAGCGGCCCGGCCCGGCCCGGGACAACGGCCTCAGTCACCAGTCTGGAGCTGCCTGGCTGTGCAGGCCCGGCTTTCTGTCCCCTGCGCGGCTGACTCTCCGCCAGGCTCCCGGAGAATCAAGGAAGCCACCACCAGTTTGGAGGCTAGCTAAGGAACTCTTCGGTCCCGATGGGAGAGGCGCAGGAATCCACCTCGGAAGGAGTCTCTGAAGACGCGCAGACAGCGCCCCACCCCAACGGCCTCAGCCCTTCACCTGCTGGGAAGGCGGTGCCTCTCCAGGGCGGGCCCCACGGCGACTTCAGTGAGGAGGGAGGAAGGCGGAGGAGACGGGAGGCGGCTGGGGGGCGGCTGGGGGGCCAGCCGTGCCACCAGACTGCTGCCACCCTCTGGCGTTTACCACCCTCCCTTCCCCTCCCAGACTCGGGGCGCTAGGGCCCCTAAATTCGTGGAAAGGGAGATGGGAGGGGAAGCTCGGAGGTCTGGGTCCAGAGGTGGAGGGGTGCTGGCCGGAGGAGCAGCTGCCTGGCTCCCCGAGCGGTCAGGAGCTGAGGCCAGGACCGCTGCACCCCTCACCCCGCCGCTTTACCCGCCACTGACGCGCGAGTGTGGAGACCAGTCGCTTCTGCGGGCACTAGCGAGGGGGCGGGGGTTGCTGTGCGCGCGCTGAGGGTCCCAGCGCCCGCGGGAGCCACCGCTTCGGGAACCACAGGCGGTTCGATTATTTTGCTGCAGCAGGAAGGCGATCAAGCAATCCACCTGGAGATGCTCACCTCTCAGGTGCCCCTACAGACCCCCGGCCCAGCCCCGGGCCCTGCCCCTCCCTGCTCCTTTATTCGCTCCTCCTTGCTCGGGACCCACAGTTGGCTGGCGGCCCGTTGGCCCATCTCTCTGAGGGGCCCCCTTCCCCGCGGTTTCCCGGAGCTCTGAAGCTTGATGAGCTGTATGCCTAGGCGAGAAGCGCGTTCACGTCTTCCCACCCCATCATCCCTAACTCCGAGCATCTTCTCTCCCAGTTGACGCTTTGGGGAGGATCCCGGGAGTCACAGGTTACCCGAGAGATTTGGCCTTGTGGTGGGGAGTGCGGTCACCAGACGGCAGGCAGGTAGTCTGGCTAGCAGACTTAGTGGTGAACACCCTTCCTGCGTTGAGGTGCGAAGAGGTCACGGGAGGGCCACGACAGGCCCCCAGGCGGCCTGTTTCAGCGCAGATGCTCTTAACCACTGTGCTGTGAAGAGCCAACACCGGCAGGGGTGTCCGCTGGCCCCACGCAGCCCAGGATGGCTGGGAATGCGGTTCAACACAACATCATACATTTACTTAAAACATCATGAGATTTTTTTTGTGATTATGTGTCAGAATATATTTTTTAAATTTTTTTCTGTATTTATTTATTTTTAGAGAGAGGGGAAGGGAAGAAGAAAGAGGGAGAGTAACATCAATGCGTAGTTGCTGCTTGTGCGCTCCCTCCTGGAGACCTGACCCACAACCCAGGCATGTGCCCTGACTGGGAATCCAAACGGCAACCCTTTGGTTGGCGCTCAATCCACTGAGCCACACCAGCCAGGGCTGTGTTGAAATGTTTTTAATGGGTGGCCCAAGACAGCTCTTCTTCCAGTGTGGACCAGAGATGCCAAAAGTTTGAACAGCCCTGGGCGGAGCTTCGATATCTAAACCAGGGCCATGGGGAGCAGATTCACACCAGCAGCCTGAGGGCAGAGAAGGCCAAGTTGGGCAGGGGAAGGGCCTGGGCACTGAAGGGAATCAGGACGTGGTAGAGGGGCATTCCGTTTTTTCCTTAGTTCCGTAGTTGTCAGACTTTGATTCAAGTCCATTTCTATGTGTTCTGAGCAATGGTTGGTTCTATATTTTAGTTGTAACTTTGTTGTGGTTGTGCGAAGCAGCGAGCCATGTCTGCCTACACATGCCATCTTGACCAGAAGTCCCTAAAGTGGCATTTCAAATCAGTGCACAAACAGGAGTTATTCAGTGATTGGGCTGGAACAACTGCTAAGACATGTGGTGGGGAACCACGTTCCGTGTATCAAAATACATTTCAGGTGGGTCAAGGGTCACGGTGTGAAAACCGAAAACATAACTTACCAGGAGTAAATACAGGTGAACATTTCTACAGTCCTGGCACAGGGAAGAGCTTTCTAAGAATCACATAACAACAAGGATCCATAAAAGAAAAGGTTGAGAAGTTCAACTATATAAAAACAAAATAAGAAGAAAATGAACCAAGGTAAAAGATATCAAACCTGTAAAAAATTTCAACATTTACAACAAAGAGCCTAATTTCTCTAATATACCAAACCTTAAAAATTCGGAAAAGGACCAACAACCCAATAGATAAATGAGCATACAAAATGAACAGATGGTTCAAAAGTGAATAAAGTACAAACGACCTCATGATCCAGCAATCCCGCTCCTGGGCACGTACCTGGGAATGAAGTCGCTGTCTCAAAGAGATATCTGCACCCCCCTGTTCATGGCAGCATTATTCCCAATAGCCAAGATATGGAAACAACCTAAGTGCCCATCAGTGGATGAATAAATAAAGAAAATGTTGTACTGTATAAAACAGTGAAGTCTTATTCAGCCACGAGAAAGAGCAAAATGCCGCCATTTGTGACAGCATGGACGAGCCTAGAGGACATTACGCTAAGTGAAGTAAGTCAGAGAAAGGTAAATACTATATGATCTTTTACTTATATGCAGAATTTTTAAAAATCCAAACTTCTAGAAACAGAGACTAGAATGGTAGCTGCCAGAGGCTGGAAGTGGGGGAAATTGGGAGATGTCGGTCAAGGAGTATAAACTTCCAGTTATGACAGGAATAAGTTCTGGGGGTCTGGTGTACAGCATAGTGACCAGAGTTAACAGTGCTGTGTTATATACTCGGGAGTTGCTGAGAGAGCAGACTTTCGATATCCTCACTGCACATACACGCGCAAAGGCGAGGTGCTGTGAAGTATTAACTATGCTCTTGTGCATGTAGATATGTGTTTGCAATAGATATGTGTTGCAAGCCATCATGTTGTACCCCTTAAACCTCCGTGGTGATATGTGTGGGTTACACCTCAGTAAAGCTGGAAAAATGAAAGAGCTGACATACAAATAACAATGGTCCCAAATGTGAAGGGAATAGCTGGAGAAGAGGCAGCATGTAAACTAGTAATAGAAGATAATGTCTCCCATTACAGAAAAACCTGTTCTGGGGGCAAATTTGAAGGCTGCATTGGGTTGGTTCCAGGCAGTTTGGATATGTATATATCTCCAGTTCCATCCATGTTGTCACAAAAGGTAGGAGTTCCTTTCTTCTTTCTTTTTTTATGCAGATTTTATTTATTTATTTTTTAAATGCCATGATCCATTATAAAATATTAAAAAATTTAAGTCCATTATAAAGTCTCAGCAATTAAAAGAACATGACACCAGCACAGAAATAATCAAGTAGATCAATGAAATAAAATGAGCTTTCTAGAAACAAACACATATATCTAACAATGTAATATATGATTAAGTTGGTATTTCAAATCAATGGGGAAAATAAGGCTTATTCAACAAATAAGGTGCATGGACCACTATTACTTGAAATACAACAAATATAGAGCCCTATTTCACACATTATACAAAAAATATTCAGGTGAGTTAAAAATCAATATGTAAAATCTAAGGAGTTTTAAGAGAAAATACAAAATAATATTCTTCTTACCCTGAAGTAACATTCAAACCCAGAAGCTATAAAGTAAAATATTGACAATATGACTATATTAAACATTTAAGACTATACAGTAATATACATATAAAAAAAGTTAAAGGACAAGTAATGGAATACAGAAGTATTTGCAATACATCTAAAAAAGGGTTAATAGTTTTCTTCTTTTTTTTTTAGGGAAAAAATTCTACAAACATTTAATTAAAAAATGGGTAAAGAATACCTAAAAGTCATTTAAAGCTTTTTTTAAAATAATAGAAACAGGCAAGAAATATACAAATACCGATTTAATTTCAACAAATAATAAAGTAGCAACACATCATTGTCACAATCAGGTTAATATGTATTAAAATTATTGGTAATATCAAGGACTAGTGACTGTGAAAGGACCTGGGTATTCATAGAAACTTCTTCTTCATCTTAAAGCAGTCCCTTTAGCATATTTTGCAATGCTCATTTGGTGGAGGTGTATTCTTTCAGCCTTCTTTTGTCTGGGAAACTCCTTATTTCACCTTCCATTTTAATTAAGAGCCTTGCTGGGTAGAGCAGTCTTGGTTGCAGACCTTTGCTTTTCATGACTTGGAATATTTCTTGCCATGCCCTACTGGCTGGTAGTATTTCTGTTGAGAAGTCAGCTTCTAGCTGTACCGGGGCTCCGTTATATGTTACTACATCTTTCTCCCTTGCTTCACTTAGGATTCTCTGTTTGTCTTTGATATTTGTCATTTTAATTATCATGTGTCTCAGAGTGGGCCTCATTGGGTTCGTCTTGAATGAGACCATCTGTGCTTCCTGGACTTGTGTGACTATTTCTCTCCTCAAATTAGGGAAGTTTTCCACCATTACTTTTTCAAACAGGTTATCTATCCCTTCTTCCTCTTCTTCTCCTTCTGATATCCCTATTATATGGATATTACTACGTTTTAGGTGGTGCTTCATTTCCCTAAATACCTCTTTTTGAGTCTTTTTTCATTTTCTTGCTCTTTCTGGGAGCTTTTTTTTACCTTATCCTACAGCTTGCTGATTTGATCCTCTGCTTCATCTAGCCTGCTTTTGATTCCTTCTACTGTGTTCTTCAATTCAGAAATTGTATTTGTTTCCTCTTGTCTCTTATAGATAGGTTCTGTGTCCTTTTTCATGCTGATAGTTTGCAGCAAGTTTCTCATAGTTTCCCTGTAGTTTTTTGTAATTCTCTCTGAGCTCACTGAGCTCATTCAGCTTGCTTAGAACGGTTGTTTTGAACTCAATATCTGATAGTTTACTTGCTTCTATTTCATTTAGTTCTCTTTTTGGGGATTCCTCCTTTCCCTTCAGCTGGGGGGTGTTTCTTTATCTTCCCATTATTTGTGAGACTCTTATGCTTCTGCTTCTTAAATTGATCTGTCTTGATTTCCTGACTTCGTAGTGTGAACTTCTATGGTAGGAGACCGCTGTTTTTACTTTCTGGATCTGCCTCTGATGATGTCAGATGTTGACCCTGTCTGACCTTAGGCAGTCTGTTTGAGACTTCCAGGAATCTACTGTCTGTGGCTGTCTCTTTCAGATGTTAATCTAGTCACTCTGCACTCAGCAAGCTGGCTTAGAGACACCACAGGCCTGGGCAGAGTCCCTCCTAGGGGCAGGGTTATCTCACGCAGCTGCCGCTCAGGGGGAGTGGTCTCCACCTGAGCAACATGGCGGCTGCTGTATGGGGGATGAGTCAGCACCTGGATCCTGCCAGCTCTTCTCTCAGTTCTCTCCCTGAAGCCTCCCTCCCCAGTTTCTCCTCAGGCGTCTCCAGCCCACTCTGCCCCCACCTTTGCCGAAGCCCAGGGTAAGTGGCTGCAAATAAAAATTTGTGTGTTTGCCCTTTAAACAGGTCTTTGCGTCTCCAGCGACCTGTCTCTGGCAGAGAGCAACCCTGCCACTTTTCACAGCTGGCTGTTATCTGTGTACTTTTTGGGCTCTGGTGCTATAGGCTGGAGATCCTTGCTTATGGTTTAGACTGAGCTCCTCTCCGGGGGATCCAACTGGCCGTTTCAATACCTTTCTGGTGCTGCCTGTGGGCACCCCGCCTGCTTCCTCAAGTCTCTACTGCACTCCTTCCCAGTTAGGTTGTGCTAAAGCTGATTCTTCTGTCTGTCCGAGGTTATAAGGCTCCTCCCTTGCTATTGTTCAGTTGTTTGTTCCAGGTGATTTCTCCACAATTTAGTTGTAATTCCAGGTTGGTCCTGGGAGGAGGTCAGTGTGACTTCCACTCACTCCTGTGCCATCTTGATTCTCTTAAAATGTTAACATGCATCCTTAACAAGGTCTAAAGCTCAATATTATATTATCATCTTGTTGAGATGAATGGGCTATTTCTAGCTTATGTGTCCAGTATTTTAGTTCTGTTTTTTATTTTAATTTTTAAATTTTAAATCATTTTCTTATTTTTCAATTGCAGTTGGCTCTACCTAGGTCAACTTACAAATTAACCAGTGTTATTATTCCTCTATATTTTAGAAAATGTTCACATTTTCTCTCTGCACAGTGCCTCACCTCTATTCTTCCAGTGATCTTTTTCTGGAACTCCTATTAGTTTTGTGTTGGACTTTCTCCCACTGTCTTCCATGCCTCTTAGTCTCATATTTTCAATACCATAGTTTCTTTGTCCTGCATTATGGGTAATTTCTTCAGATTTTTCTCCTTTCCCAGTTTTCTAATTGGCTTTTTAACCCATCCCTTGATCATTTTAATCTTAATGATTTTTTTTTTCATTTCTAAAAGTTCTTTTTCAAATATTCTGATCATTTCTGAGAATTTTTTCTTCCTTGCTCTTAATTTCAACTACCTCTTTTTGTCTTTATGTTAAGTATATTTATTTTGTATTATGTACCTGATAATTCTGGTATATTAGGTTTTTACAGGTCTGATTCTGCTACTTGTTGGTTCTGCTAATCCTTCCTCAGGGTGCCTTGTTTCCTTGTGTGTTTTGTGACTTCTTTTTTGTGACCTTGTGTTCATTGAAAGTTTCTCTGGGAAATTTTATGAGACCAAGTGGAGGTTGGGCTTCCCCCAGAGATTATTTATATTCATATTTGATAGGTTCTGGGGGCAAGGGGTTATTGACTAAGCACCTTTTATATTCATCTCAGTTTGCATTTCAGACTACATAGCCTGTGCAAATTTGAACCAGTCTTCTGTGAGAAATGGTTTGGGGTGAATTCTCAAAAAAGATAGTATATCCCTAATCAGAGACAGGACCTACCTCTTTCACAGAGGGTATAGCACTTCAATTTTCTATATATATATATCGGTTTCCTTTTCTTTCATGGACCCAAGACCCTGTGTTCACCTACCTTTAAAACCAAACTCTGTAAGTTACCAGACAGGGGCAATTGCCTCAAAGCCCTAATCAGCTTTAAAATTTGCTCTGAATTCAAGCTTAGGCTTAATTTTTGTCCTCTTAAAGATGTCCCTTAATTCCTCATAAGCTATGCAATCAAAGCTATGCAATCAAAGAGGATTGTTAAAATATATTTTATTTTATATTTTAGGTGCCTTATAATATGCTATGTTTCAATTGTCTCATTTTATTGTCACACTGCCCCAAATGAAGTCCTCCTTGTGTCCTCTTCAGTCTGTGCGGTCAGCTTCCACTCTCCCCACCATTCCTTGATAAATACTGTTCGTTCATGGTCCAAGACTGTCTGAGGAAAAACACATGAAATTTTGTCAAGTTTTAAGCCCCTTGGTAGATTTGGTAATCAACTATTCCGCGTGTTTTAGAGAGATGTGAGGAGGCCACCAACTAGCAGGCATTCAACCCCTTTGCCATAATCCGTGACCCCACCGTTTTCTGAGCAAACTGTCTCCCCCTGGTCCAGTTGGCTTACAGGAAGCACCAGGTGGAGAGGCTCTGGGATTTCTAGCATTTGAATTTGATGAAGTCAAGGGAAGGTGAGACTGGGAGCTGGACAGTTGGTTTTCTTTTTCTTTTTAATGATGAAAGTAAATTTTCACTGAACAGACTTTATTTACTACCACCATTTTTTGCCCAGTTTCATAGGGACCAGACCTTACACAAACCAAGAGGAAGGTAGCCAGGAGAAGCAGGGTCAGTAGTCACTATTGGCCAAATATTGGAAGTCAAAGGACACTAGTCTGGTGAGGGAAAGTGTGGGAGAAGCAAAGAATGACTATGTTAATCCCCATCAGCCAGAAACACTTTCTTTCCCAGTCCAGAAAAACAAAAGACCTTTGTTTGGGTCCAGTTACATTAGCCATTGCTAGCTTTACCTCTTCTATTTTTGTTTTTTGTTTTTGAAGATTTTAATTATTTATTTTTAGAGAGGGGAAAGGGAGGGAGAGAGGAAGAGAAACATCAGCGTGTGGTTGACTCTCACACGCCCCCTGCTGGGGACCTGGCCTGCAACCCAGGCATGTGCCTTGACTGGGAATCAAATCTGTGACCCTTTGGTTCACAAGCTGGCACTCTATCCACTGAGCCACATCAGCCAAGGCAGCTGCCTTTACCTCTTCTAATGTCACCTTGCCAGCCATGAGTTACACTTCAAAACACCAATGATGTTATGCTGAATGAGCCTAGTACTCATTGCCTAGAGGAATTACTCACATGGCAGACAAAGTTTTTCTCTGGTTATGTTTTTTTATTCATCTTCTTTGGGCTTTTCCCCACATGAAGCCGTGGGCAGTGCTTTGGTGCCTCCTCTTCAGCTTCAGGTTTAAAGATAATTGTGGACCGGCTGTGCATCCTGGAGTCCAGGAAACACATGTCCAAGAGGGTGTAAAAGGAGCAGGCAGGGACGGGCAGGAGGGTAATGCCAATGAGGACTGAGAGCAAGACTTTCGCCCACGATGGGTAACGTCGGAGCATTTCACTGGACTGTGGAGAAAGGGGAGGAAGGGTTAGACGCCCAGGTTCTCTGAAGTGAGATGCAGAAGCTGGGGGCAGGGGACGAACCAAGGCAAGAGACTAGATAACTGAATCCCCAGGCAATAAGATGACTCGAATCCCACAGGCATGAGTGGGTTGGAAAGTCTGTCCCCACTCCCTAGGCGGGGGGCGGGGAGGGGGGCCGCGGGGGCGCGCCTGAGGTCTGGGGCCTGCGGAGGGAGGCTCACAGTGCTGGAGTTCCAGGCCAAGTAGGCAATGGGAGTCAGGTGTAGATGGATGAGGGTACTTGCCAACAGGACCAGCAGCACAAAGGGAGACACAAAGCACCACAGCCAGCGATAGATGGGGGAGATGGGGCGGCCCAATATGATAATCAGGTCTGCAAGGAACCTGGGGGGAAGGGTCATAAGGCTTCGGATGGGCCCTGCCCAGCCTTGGGGGCAGGGTCAGTCCGAACCCAGCCTCGGAGGCAGCCCTCAGCCAGTTCTTAGAGTCCAGGGGTGTCCAACCCGCGGCCCACGCGCCTCGTGCAGCCCAGGATGGCTGGGAATGCGGCCCAACCCAACATCATGAATTTACTGAAAACATTATGAGATTTTTTTTTTGTGATTACGTGTCGCAATATATTTACTGTGCGGCCCAAGGCAACTCTTCTCCTCCCAGTGTGGCCCAGAGATGCCAAAAGGCTGGACACCCCTGTTTCCATTTACCTCCAAACCAGTCTTCTTATCTCTAATCCGTCCCTTTGCAGGCTAATTTCGATCCCAGCCCCAGGAGAAATGTTTAAAAACATTTCTATCCCCGTTCACCTTCAGGATGAAAGCCTCATTTTTTGAGGGCCTCCCATGTGCCAAACTACATTTATGTAGTTTTTTCAAGCCTATAAATGCATCTTTGGTACATCTTTTTTTTTAAAGATTTTATTTATTTATTTGTTTGTTTGTTTGTTTTCAGACAGAGGAGGAGAGAGGGAGAAAAAGAGGGAGAGAAACATCGATGTGTGGTTGCCTCTCGCGCATCCCCTGCTGGGGACCTGGCCCGCAACCCAGGCCTGTGTCCCAGACTAGGAATCCAACCCGTGATCCTTTGCTTCTCAGACCTGCGCTCAATCCACTGAGCCACACCAGCCAGGGCGAGGTTCTGCGGTTCTTATAAGCTTCCAGGTGATGCCAATGCTGCTGGTCCACGGAGCACACTTTGAGAGGCAAGGGATTACGTCTTTCAGCTGTCCAAACTACCCTGGTTAAAAGTAGGGCTGGGACTTCCTACAGACTCTCCATCACTCTGCCATTTTACACCGATTTCCTCCGGAAGCCACACCGTTCTCCTTCCCACCGTCCTGGGCGCCGGCCACAGCCCTGGGAGCAGAGACCTGCTGGCAAGGGCAGCAGGGGCCGACGCCCCTGGAGACTCTAGCCGTGTGGGTGCGTGGAGGTGATCCTGGGCTTGGGGCATCACCTCCTGGCCCCGTAGATCCAGGCCATGGCCACGTTCTCCAAGATGAGGATGCAGAGGAGCGACAGAGGTGCCCAGTAATCGTCCAGCAGGCTCACATAGTAGCTGCCCGAGGGCGTCGCGAAGCCGAGGCTGCCCAGGAACATGAGCACACAGACGGCCACTGGAGGAACAAACGAGACTCGGATTAAGGCCAGAATCCACGCTGGGCCGCATGAGTCCCATCAGGTTAACCGGAGCTCAACAGTGGCCATCGGTGGGAGTGGCGTCATAGGTCAGAGTACCTGTGAGCAGCTCTGGATGTTTCCTAAGGGAAGAGGAAGTGTCCTGGAGAGGGGTAAGGATGCCCTGCAGGATCCCTATCATGGTGCTCAGCCCCATGGTCACCAGGAACATGAAGATGATGATGGCCCACAAGGGGGATCCAGAAAACACAGAGGCGACGTTGGTAAAGGCCACAATGGCCACACGGGGAGCCGCTATCACCTGTGAGTGCAGGGAGGGATGGGGAGGGCTCAGAGCTGCATCTACAGGGTCCTTGCTCCATTCCTGTCCCCTCCCAGGACATTATCTCTAGCACTGTTCATGGACTTTATTATGCTCCTCGGGCCTTGAGCTGCTGGTCTAGGTTGCACTGAACGGGATTATATGGGCGCTAGTGCTTGGTGCTGCAAAAGCTACAACTGTGTTGTCCCAAAAGGAGACCATAAACCTTGTCTTGGTCGTCCAGGATGCTGCTGGGAATAGCCCTGCTGGATTTACAGACACCTAAGGAAAGCTGAAGTTTCTAGCGCACTATGGGATCGAAGGGAACTCTAGCCCTGGCTGGTGTGGCTCAGTGGATCCAGTGCCGGCCTGCGAACCAAAGGGTCTCCAGTTCAATTCCCAGTCAGGGCATGGGCCTGGGTTGCAGGCCAGGTCCCCTGTAGGGGGTGCGTGAGAGGCAACCCACACATTGATGGTCCTCTCCCTCTCTTCCTCCCTCCCTTCCCCTCTCTAAAAATAAAAATTAATCTTTAAAAAAAAAAAGAAGGGAACTCTAGGGCCCCACCCGACCCCTACAGACCTGCTCCAGTTGCTCAGATAAGTCACAATTGGACAGATGGGGCAGGAGCTCGCCTCTGACTCGTTCAGGGAGCCGGCTGAGCCACGCGGGGTAGCTGGAGCTCACATCATGGCGCCCGCTGTCCGGGAGCTGCAGCGTGGGGGGCAGCAGCCCAGCAGTTACCAGATTCATCGCTCTCTCCGCATTCCTGGGGACAGGGGTAGAATCATATAAAACCATGTGGGCCTTTGAGACAACCTCCCCCCGCGTCGCTCTAGGTGAGAAGGGCAATCACTAGCTTAGTTTGCGATCTGGCTCGAAGCAAAGCCGAGGCCTCGAGGATCCTAGTGTGCGTGGCCCGACAGCCACTGCCATGGCCACGAAGGCGTCTGTGTGAGGGCAGAGAAGTTGGGACTTCACGGCCCCCGGACGGGTCTTCCCTGCAGCAGCATTGAGGCTTCGGGGACCCGACCTGCACCTCCTCCTCGACAGCCGCAGGCTAACGTTAGTGCTCCTCGGCTTCCTCGACCTGCTGGCCTCTCCAACCTCTTAACTCACAAGTATCTTCGCCTCGTACACTCCAGCCACGTTCAACTATTAAGCCTTGCACTCACTGAGCTGTCTCTTGTCTCAGTATCTTTCGTACACGATGTTCTCTCTGCCCAGACCTACCCCGCTCTGCCCACATCCCGTCCACCCCAGTTCTACCCCAACACCCATTCTCCATATGGCAAATCCCTACATGTCCTCACTCAGCTCCCTGAACTCGATTCGCCGCCATGGAAGGCTGTTCAAGACCTATGTTTATAAGGTCAGGTCAACTAGATGCAGAAAGTACTATGCTGTGATCCAATTCTTTAAAAAAAATGGTCTACGTTCATATATCGGTCTATGAATGGACAATATTTGAAAGAATACGAGCACTGGTTGTTTGTCAGGAGACAAGCTCAGCTCAGAATCGCCTCCACCAGGAAGCCTTCCCTGACTGCCCCAGGAAGTTAGAAGCTCCCTCCTCTGTCTCCTCATCATCCCTAGGATCAGTTATCTCATTTGTGATGATCTGTTTAGTATCTGCTTCTTCAGAAGACTCTGATTTTCCTGAGGGCAGGGATGATGGTCTGATTCACCACTGGCCATGTTTCCAGAATGCCACATGGGCTGGTAGATAGGAGATGTTTTATAAAGAAATATCAGATAAGTATTTTTGAGATGAATACCACAGGAGAAGAAAACGGGGTGGGGGGGAGGCTACAGGGGGCCTATGTGGGCCCTCTCATTTATCTATTTATTTATTTGGTCTAATGGTTCAGGTAAAGGTAGCCCCTAAGTTTTCCATAGGGGTCTCCAGTTAAGAATGGGGCAAATGGGCAAACACACATTTGAAAACCTCAAGTTTGAGGTTTTCCTAGTTTGGAAAGGCAGCTCTTAAAGAGCCAAAGAGATTTAAGTGTTAACATAAGGATCAGGACGCTCCCAGTTGAGGGAGCTGTATTGGCTGAGCCGGCGTCCCTGAGGGCCGGGGGCCTAGGCTGGCGGTCTGTGAGCTACTCCTAAGACTTCGGTCTCTGTGATGGGCGCCACATGAAAGATTGGGCTCACTTCAGGTAACACTCTTCATTGAGCTGGGTGGCCAAGTGGCCCATTATGGCAAATACAAACACCGTGACCATCACTGAGGTCACCAGGTTGAGAAGAGCCACGGCGAAGGCATCCATGACGCAGTTGTTGGACCGGGGCATGTAGGAGCTGATGGCGGTGAAGCTGCCAAAGCCGGAGCCCGTGGCCAGGAAGAGCTGGTTCCCCGCGCGGCGCCACACTTCCACAGAGTACAGGGCACGCACCTGTGGGGGCGTGGGGGGCGTGCACATTGGGATACAAGGCAGGGGGCGGGGGAATGAAGACGAGGAGAAGGAAAACACGGGGGAGCTGGGAGGGCCTCTACCAGACTGGCAGCCACACTGTCCCTGACACCCCCATTGGGATACGGGCCTTAAAGGGTGGGAGGCGCCTCACCTTGGCAGCCAACAAACTCTTGAGACCATATCCTGCTCCTTTCAGCATGAGGCTCCGGATAAAGACACAGAAGAGGATGATGTAGGGAAGGAGTACCGAGACATACAGCATCTGGGTAGGGGGTATGACTCAGAGAGTTCAGCAAAGGCGAAAGCTGGGATAGAAGGGTCAAAACTATGGGGAATCACGCCCTGGCTGGAGTGTCTCTGTGAACTGAGTGCCAGCCTACGAACCGAAAGGGCGCTGGTTCGACTCTCAGCCAGGGCACATGCCTGCCGTTGCAGGCCAGGTCCCCAGTAGGGGGCGTGCGAGAGGCAACTGACTGATGTATTTCTTGCACGTCAATGTTTCTCCTCCTTTCTCCCTCCCTCCCCTTCTCTCTATAAATAAAATCTTTTAAAAAAAAAAAACAACAACTATGGGGAATCAGAGGTCAGAGTAGGATGCGCGAGAAGTTGGAGACCGACAGGCATCAGGTTGGGAGAATATTAGCGGTCTGGGGAGTCCGTCAGACTAGTAAGTTAGAGGGTCACTCACCTTCCTGGCGGACTGGAGCCCTTTGACCATGGAGATGCAGCTCAGTAACCAGGTCACAAAGAGAGAGACACCGAGATGCATGACTGGCAGCCCACCTATCTCGATTTTGTCTGTGGCCTTCAAGACTTGCTGGTACCAGAAGTAGGTGGTGGGCTTCGTCCGTGCACATTCGGGATCTGAGGTGAACCGGCCGTGGAGGAAACTGCAAGGCCAGGCGTCCCCCTTCTTCCCCTCCAGCCCCCGTCTCTCAGTGGCCGTTTCCCGACATTCCCCCGTCCTATCCGCAGCCCTCTCACTTGCCCTTTTCTTCCCTCTCTTCTCACCGAAATTACTGGAGTTGCTCTCGAAAGGGCACAAGGCCCAAGGCAGCGGAGACTGGAAAGACTGAGACAAGTAGAAGAGACTCCACGCTATGAGCGCACTGTAGTACAAGCCCACGATGCAGCACGCCTAGGGACCACGAAGAGTTCCGGAGGCAAGGGAACAGAGGCAGGCCGGCAGAAGGGGGGATCCGACAGAGGCAACTGCAGGCAGCTGACCCGTGGGGCCCATTCCAGGACAAGGGCTGGGCTGGGGGCGGGGTGCGAAGGGTGGGCCTGGGCAGCCCGGGGCTCCTCACCATGAAGCTGGTGCACCCCACACCCCCGATCCAGGGGCTGATGGTCTTCCACACGCCGATGCTGCCCTGGCGCATCCTCTGGCCGACGGCCATCTCCAGCAAGAGGAGAGGAACCTCGACGAAGAGCAGCATAAGGACGTAGATGAGGAGAAAACTCCCTGCGCAGGGGATTGAAGGAGCAGCTCTGAGAACCATCCGGTCTTCCAGCGCCTGGGCTTCTTTGGGAGTCCAGGAAAACGCGTTCCTGACCAGTGACCTCCCTCAGGGCCACAGGCATCGGGCTTCAACTATTTCCACAACTCTCACGGTCCCAGGTGTCCCGTCCTTTGCCCCTCAGTTCCCAGAAGTCCCAGCACCCCAGCCCCGCAGCCCCACCATCCTAATGAACCCAAGTCTTTGAATATCCTGCCTCCACCCTCCCCACGTCCTGGCTGTTCATATACTTGGCTCCTGCCCCCTTCAGGATCCCAAATCCTCAGCGCTTCCGTATCTCAGAGACCTCGCCCTTCATGCATCCAGGGTTCCTGGCCCCCAGACTCACCACCTCCGCCGTGAAGACACTCATAAGGAAAGCGCCAGATGGAGCTCAGCCCCACTGAGAAGCCCACCTGGGCCAGGAGGTACTCAATTTTATTATCCCAGTACGGTCGGCCAGTGGCGGCGTCATCCTCTGACCTATCTCTGTCTATGGTCTCCAATTCTTTGTCATTATCTTCGTCAGACCAAATGTTTGAGGGATAGTCAAAATTCTGTCCCTCGCTGTTCAATTCCTTAGCAGTCAACAACTCCAGCTTTGCGATCTTGGAAGCTGAGAAAGTACCAATCCCGGGTTTGGAATCTGAAGACCTAGGCATCTGGGACTCCTCATTGTAGGCCTGCATGTTTCTGTTAACCGTCCTCTTCCTGGGTGGGCTCCGGTTCTTTCTCGACCTTAAGGACATCAAGAACTTCAGACTTAAGCTGTATGTGCTCAGGAAAGACAGGACGAATTTTCTTGAGGCCTCCCCAGCCCTTTTATCCTTGTGCAGATAAGACCTTGGAGTCTCCACCCTGGAAAAGGTACCTGCCTCTAGAAAATAATAATTTAAAAAGCAGGAACTGGCACTGTCCTGTCAATCAGCCATCGCTTCTACTAGGACCACAGCCTCCAGGGACGCCACAGCGAGCGCAGCCGCGACCACTCCAGCCTGCAGCCTGATTTCAGCCGCGGCAACTTAGTCGGCATGGTCGGTGGCCGCTGGATGCTGGGCGAGCGGCCCACCCACTCTGCAGCCAGGACTTCCTGTGGCGCAGCAATGACCGCGACCAGACCAGCAGCAGTGGATGGGCCTCAGCGACTCATCAGCTCCTGCTGCCCAGTCCCCAACACCGGTTCCCACAGATTGACTCTAGCCAAAGAAGATTACAGAGGCCCGATGGTGGGGCTCCCAGAAGGCTGCTCCTCGCTTGACGACCGCTTCCACTTCAGAAGCCAGGACGGTGTGCTCACATTGTGGTCACTTATCTAGCCATAATTCTGATCTGTGCATACTTTAATAAATGCTTCAATCAAAGTTTAGCTAAAAAATGAACATTGAAAACAACTCTGAATTTCTCTACAGTAACCATAAACAGAAAGTGGATATTTTTAAAGATGTTATTTATTTATTTTCAGATACAGGGGGAGGGAGGGAGAAAGAGGGGGAGAGAAACATCAATGTGTGGTTGCCTCTCACACACCCCCTGCTGGGGACCTGGTCTGCAAGCCAGGCATGAGCCCTGCCTAGGAATCGAACCAGGAACCTTTTGGTTCATAGGCGGGCACTCAACCCACTGAGCTACACCAGCCAGGGCAAAAAGTGGATTTTTAACAAAGAAAGCACCAACAATAGCAACAAAAACTATATGGCATCAAGAAGAAAACCTAAGCAACATTAAAACAGACCTAAATCAGGCAGAAATATCTCATGTTCATGGATATAAATATTTAATACTGTAAAGATGGAATTTCTCCCCCAAACTGATTGAGTCAATGCAGTTCCAATCAAAAGCTCACCATAATTTTTCATGAAAGCTAACAAGATTTTACAATTTACATAGACGACTACACTGTCAAAAATGTTAAGAGACTGCCAATAATCTTAGGTTGCTGGCCAAGATGGAGTAAGCCAACAACATACAGCCAATATCTCCTACTGATTACAGCTAAAATCTTGGGATGGAATGCAAAAAGCAACTGTCTGCAGATTTTGAAAAGTAAACAACAGTGGTCATATTGGGGATTTAAGTTAAAACTTGAGTAATAACATATAATAGTGGGATGAATTTCACATGATTTTTCTTCCTTTCTCTCTTGATCCAAGAATAGCCAAATCATGGAACTGTACAACAAGCACTAAAAGCAGACGCCCCAGCAGAAAGCTTTTTCCAGAGCACCAGGACCTGGAGCTCCTATGCATCAAAGAGCATGGAGAAAAGATACCAATTTCCCCTTCTCACCTCGGGGGCTCACCCCTGAATTACGTAAGCAAGGAACAAATGCAAAGAAGCGCAGCAAGGCTTTGAAAAACTGAACAGTGATATAAACCACTGTCCCAGTCACAGGCTGACTTCAGGGTGGCACATGCTGGCCCAAATAACATGCCAAAGGCTTTGAAAACTGAAGTAACATGGTAACCAGCACCCTACAAGATATGACAAAACTTGCCATTGAACATACCCAGGGTGACTGCCTGGAAATAAGCAAATAAGCAAACAAAGTTCAACATTCTCCTCGAGATATTCAACATTCTCCTGAGATATTAACAGGATCCTGAGTCTCATTACATAATATTCAAAATTCCCAGCATACAATCCAAAATGACTCATCACTTTAAAAATGTTCTGACTATTTCCCAAAGGAAAAGACAATCAATAGATGATAACCTTGAGATAACCCAGATGATGAAATTATTAGACAAAGAATTTATCATTTTTCAATAGCATATATTTTATTTTTTTCCAGCTTTACTGATGTCTGATTGACAAAAATGGGGTATATTTACGAAATACTAAAGATCAGAGCAGAGAGAAATGAAATGGAAACTAGAAAAAGAATATAGAAAATCAATGAAACCAAAAGTTAGCTCTTTGAAAAGATCAACAAGAGGGACAAACCTTCAGCTAGATGGACCAAGAAAAGGAAAAAAAAAAGAAGGAAGCCTTGAAACATTGCGCTATGTGAAAGAAACCAGACACAAAAGGACTACAAGGATAGAATAGGCAAATCTATAGAACAAAAAGGAGATGAATGTTTGTCTAGGGCCGGGGTTGGAGGCTGGGGCAGTTGGGTGACGGCACAGGGGCGTGATGTTTCTTTTTGGGATAATGAAAATGTACTGAAATTGACCTTGGTGGTGACTGTGCATCTCTGTGGTGTACTAAGAACTGTTGAACTGTACCCTGTAAAAGGGTGAATTCTAGCTTAATAACGCTGTTAAAAAAAGATAAAGTGCCCTGGCTGGTGGGGCTGCGTGGATTGAGCGCCAGCCTGCGAACCAAAGGGTCATAGATTCGATTCCCAGTCAGGGCACAGGCCTGGGTTGCAGGCCAGGTCCCCAGCGGGGGGAGTGTGAGAGACAACCACACACTGATGTTTCTCTTTCTTTCTCCCTCCCTAACCCACTGTCTAAAAATAAATAAAATCTTTAAAAAAAAATTTTTTTAAAGCCCTGGCTGCTATGGCTCAGTGGATTGAGTGCCGGCCTGCAAACAAAAGGGTCACCAGTTCGGTTCCCAATCAGGGCACATGTCTGCGTTGTGGGCCAGGTTCCTGGTGGGGAGCACACAGGAGGCAACCACACATTGATGTTTCTCTCCCTCACTTTCTCTCTCCCTTCACCTCTCTCTAAAAATAAATAAATAAAATATTTTTTAAAAATTTGTAAAAAACAAAGCTACTAGAAAAAAAAAAAAGGAGACAAACAGGAAAACTTGACCAAATATTTGATATTAGTATTATTGTTATTTGTTTTAGGTGTGATAAGTTTTGTCGGGGTTTTTTTTTTTTTTGAAAGATTTTATTTATTTTTAGAGAGTGAGGAAGGGAGGGAGAAAGAGGGAGAGAAACATCAATGTGTCGTTGCCTCTCAAGCATCCCCCCCCAGTGGGGATCTGGCCTGCAACGCAGGCATGTGCCCTGACTGGGAACCGAACCAGCAACCCCCGCCCCAGTTCACAGGCCAGCACTGAGCCACACCAGCGAAGGTTTGTCAGGTTACTTTTTAAAGGGTTCGATAGGTATTGGCCTATCTACAGATGAAATGATAAATTTGGGGTTTGCTTCCAAATAATGGGGAGGCATGCAGTGGGGTAAGGAGAAATGGAACCAGATTGGTCATGAGCTGGTCATTATTGAAGATGGGTGATGAATACAAGGTGATTCATTGTTCTTCTTTTGTTCATGTTTGAAAATTTCCAAAAGACGAGGCCCAGAAGCCACAAGATAAGAATCTTTGTCAGGCTGCACCCCTCAACTCATTGCGTGAATCCCTCTTTCTTCCCCATCTCCTGACGAAACCTGATGATGAGAATACCTGTATCTCATGCCACTTTTGAGAGGAATAACAATAAAGATGTGAAAGGTACCCTCCCAAGGCACGGGGCTCTGATTTCTCTAACAAGGCCAGTCCACAAGAAAACCCGCTCCTACGCAAGGGCGCCACGGGACCGGACTTGAGACAGGAAGAAACCCCACAGCTGCGCAGAGAAGCACCCGCGATAGAAGCCAGCCTTCCACTGTAGTCAGAACCCCTACGGCAATGTGAGAGATTCCCAGTTTAAACAGCCCCGCCATGAGGCGCCAAAGGACCTTCAATGCGTGGCCTGAGGAAAGGAAAATCTTCAGTGGGCGGAGGGCACGCAGCAGGATCTTCATTCTACGGCCATCGGTTTATCCGGTGAGCCCCTACTTGTCAATACCTAACCCTCAGGTTCTGCTCCCAAAGCTGGAGCTGGAGGCTGGGGTGCAGGACGGAGGATGAGCATCTGGGCTCCCCAAAGAAAGGAGCTTGAAAACTCGGGTTATTTAATCCCGAGAAGACGTCTGCCTCTTCCCCATCTTTCTCCCATTCCCACCTTACCTGACCCAACAGCACGCGAAGTCTTCAAGGGACAGATCGTTTGGGTGGGGGCGGGGCGGGGGAGCGTGGGGGGCGGGGCTACACGTACGGCGGAGGGGGCGGGGGGGGCGGCCCATGGCTGGTGACCACCAGGAGGTCCACAGCGCCTCCAGCGCTCCCGCGCTCGGGCTTGAGGAGCGTGGAAACTGCTGCTGTCTCCTGTCCGTCTCCGGTGTCTCTGCCGTCGGGGATCTCTGCTCTTCCCGTTCCCCAGCCCACCCTGCGCCCTGGTTGCTGCCCGCCAAGGAAGGGTTGGGATGGTCTACTTTCTCTTCCTTTGTCACAGAAACTTATGCAGAGGCAGTCTCCCTGCGGGAACTGAGCAATCCGAAATTCTGGGATCTCTTGGGCATTTAAAGGGAACCCAACCCTGGCTGGTGTGGCTCAGTGGGATTGAGTGCCCCTCTGCGAACCAAGGGGTCCCAGGGTTCGATTCCCGGTCAGGGCATATGGCTGGGTTGTGGGCCAAGAGGCAACCCATCGATGTTTCTCACACACATGATGTTTCTCTACCTCTCTTTACTATTAAAAAAAGAAAAAAGCGAGGGGGGGGGATAAAGAAAACCCATCCCCTGGATCTTCAGGAATCCCCCACCCCTCTACCCACAGCCCCCACCCCCAGTCACTGCCTGACGGCCTGACTCCGTCTCCTTTCAGGAAGTACCTCAGCTCAACTGTGAACTCATGGCCACTTCCACAAGCTCCTTGAGACCCACCCAATCTTCGCCCACTAGGAGAGTCCATTTGACGTAGCCCTGTGGTAAAAGGGTGTCTTCTTTACCGGGGAGCTGTGGAACCATGGCGGGCTCCCGAACTGGCTATGTGTTAGCTCACAGATCACTGAGTCTGTGTGGACCACTTAACCCACAACAGCCTGGGAAACTCCACAAAATAATTTTAGAGCCATGACAGGGGACCATGTCCCGTTAGCAAGCACGTTAATATCATTTCCATCTTTGCTGAAGCCTCCATGTCCTGGGTTTTTCTTGGCTACAGGCCAGTCCCTGGATAAAGCAAGTCTAATACCCGAGCATGTGAATTTGCCACGGCGAGGAGAGGGCAGGAGCTCAGGGCTTGATATTTAGCTCTCAAAAGAATGGAATGAGAATTCCATTCGACATTTATAGAAACTCTGAGGCATTTACGGAGAAGAAAAACAGATCTGCTCACGCCCAGTGCTTGGACTGAGGACTGATTTATTGACCAACAGCATTACACCTCCAGCTCCACACCCACCGGGTTTGGCTGGCATCACCGACAGTGTATCTGAGTGGCACGTGTATACACTGAGGCAGGGGATGGGGAAATGACAGTGGCAACTAGAGGGACCTTGGACTGGGGCTGCAAAGCCAGGCCCCAAGAGCTCCCCCAAATAATGCCCCTATCCTTGGGAATAAAAGGAGTTCTCAGTCCAAGGACATCAATAGTCACTAGTGGCTACTGAGCCACCTGTTCTGAGGGATGTGTGATGTCAGGTCACACCAAGCAGGTTAGGAAGTCACACAGCAGGTTGATCAGTGATTCGATTACCATCTTTCAGGGGTTCCTCCTTCTGGACCTCTTTGGTGGGCCTGCCCAAGCTTGTGGACTTGAAAGGAATGCCATGGGTGAGGCAGTACACGAAGTACGTGGGGATGGGGAGGATGACGACGAGGAACAGGGTGATCATCGCGAGCAGCACCCACGACGGGTATTGTCGGAGCACCTCTTTTGACTATGGAGAGATGGGAAAGGGGCTCAGAACATCGAAGCTTCCAGAAGAGGAAAGATGATGGAAGGGGAAGAGTGGCAGGGGGCTCAGGGCAGAGGACTAATGAGTCTCCAGGGAGCAGAGAATGAGAGGACAGGGTCTTCAGGCCAAGAGTGGCCTAGGAGATGGGCCCCCGCTCGCCAGGAAGCCTGGGGTCTGGGCAGGGAGGCTCACAGTGCTGGAGTCCCAGGCCAGATACGTCATGGTCTTCAGAGACAGAAGGATCAGAGTGGCGATGAGCAGGATCAGCAGCCCAGCTGGAGTCACAGCGTTCCACAGCCAGTGAAAGATGGGGTGGATGGAGTGGTCCCACAGAGTCGCCAAGTCTGCTAGGAACCTAGGAGAAAGGGTTGTTGGGGCACAAGGCCAGCCTGTCCTTAGTGTCTTTCCAGTATTCTACCTCACTTCCAAACCCCTGCCTCCGCTCAAGCCTCATCCTCTCTCATCTTCCAAACCGAAGAAAAAATTTCAGACATTCCTCTACTGCTCTAAAACTGTTCATGGCCCTGGCTGGTGTGGCTCAATGGGTCGAGTGTCGGCCTGTGAACCGAAAGGTCGCCGGTTTGATTCCCAGTCAGGGCACAGGCCTGGGCTGAGAGCCAGGTCCCCAGTTGGGGGAGTGTGAGAGGCAATCAACAGGTGTCTCTCACATGTTGATGTTTCTCTCCCTCTCTTTCCCTCTCCCTTCCCCTCTCTACAAATAAATTAAAAACAAAACAAAACAAAACCCTTTCATGGGTACCCAGCGCACTCAGGATAAAGACCAAGTCCCTTTCATTCATTCCATAAACACAAGAGTGTGTGTGATGTGCCCAGGACCCTTCTAGGTGCTGGGTATCCATAGTGAACAACGTCAACCCCCCAAAAGTTAGCACTTGTCCCTGAAGGAACTTTTCTTAGTTTCTTCCAGTCCATGTATGTAGCCTCCTTTAGTGCATGTTCTCAAACTCAGTAAACGTACAAGTAGGATCCTTTGGCCTAGACTACTGTTCTCTGTCTACCTATTAATCTGTTCAGACTGCGCTCAATTGTCCCCTCCTCTGAGACACTTCCTTGGACTTTCCAGGTGCCCTAGAGGACCGCCAGCAACCTCTCCTCTAGACTTACCGCCTTGTTTGTACTGTGACTCTCTGCTTATATACGTTTCCCTCTTTGGACACTCTGCCCTTAGAGAGGAGAAGCTAATTCTAATTCATGTGTATCCCATACCCATGAGGCTTTCCCGACACAGCAAGTCTCAAGGAATATTTGTGCAGTGAGTTAATAAATGAGTGAACTGACTCCAAAACCACTGTCACCCAAAAATGCTGCCACCTGAACCTTCCGCCCTTGAGTTCCACGTACCACTGCGATGTCCACATCCAGCCCGGTAAACAGCTGGGCCCGGGAGCCCTTGGACATGCCTTGGATTCTCCATGCTCCCATTCCGCAGGTGCGCCTGCTAGCTTCCAGTCCCTGGTTATTTCATTGCCTCCGCCCCGCTCGCTCTTCCTTAGAGACTTAGACCACACCTCTCCATCTACCCCTCTATCACCCTAGCTCACGCCATTAAGGAGCTCCCACTTGAAATATTACAATGGCTCCCTCCTGTCCCCCTGGCTTTACTTTTGACTCCTCATAGTCTATTCCCCACACAGCAATTGTAGGTATCTTTTTAAAAATAAACCTAACTATGTCACTCCCCTACTTAAAACCCTCTCATGCCTCCTCGATCATTCTGCACAGAAAGCTCAGTGCTATCATGGCTTAGAAGGCCCAACGTGACGTCCCATTACCTCTGCTTCATCTACTAACATTCTGTTCCAACTGCTCTGATCTCCTTAGTCCTCAAAGCCTCCAGAGTTGATGCGTCCCTTCCCTTGGTACTTGCTGTTCCCTCTGCTTGGAACACACCTGCACAGAAGTTTGTCACAGTTCCTTCCTTCATTTCGCTCAGGAGTCTGTTCAAATGTCACCTTATTGGAGAGGCCTTCTCTGCAATCCTATCTCAGTTAACGCCCATATACACTCCCCGTCTTGATCATTTTGCTTTACCCTTTGACTTTTTCCTGTCGGTTTTTACCACCTAACATTTTTATTTGTCCATTTGGTGACTGTCTAGCTCCACCACTAGAATGCACACTCCTTGAAGAAAGGTATTCTTGTTTGATTCAATACTGTATGTATCCACGGCATTTGAAAGAGTGCCTGCCGCATATTAAGCATTCATAAATATGTTAAAGAAATGAACGAATTCAAAGGTTTCTCAGCAGGCCCTGGAATTAAGGGTCCCTATGACACTCTAGTTGAGTGAGAATGAAGGCAAAAAGAAAGGGATCAGCCCTGGACAGTGTGGCTCAGTGGATTGAGCACCAGCCTGCGAACAAAAAGGCTGCCAGTTCAATTCCCAGTCGGGGCACATGCCTGGGTTGAGGGCCAGGTCCCTAGTTGGGGACTTGTGAGAGGCAACTGATTGATGTAGCTCTTGCACATTGATGTTTCTCTTCCTCTTGGTCTCCCTCCCTTCCCCCTCTCTAAAAGTAAATAAATAAAATCTAAAAAGAAAGAAAGAAAGGAAGGAATCAGCCTTCCCTATAGACCCAAGCAGTCACCTCCTGGCCCCATAGGCCCAGCCCACAGCCACGTTTTCAAGTATGACGATGGTTATTATGGGGAGGATCATCCAGTATTCACTCAGCAGTCCAACGTAATAGACGCCTGAGGGTCGAGTGAAGAAGAGGCCACACAGGAACATGAGCACAAAGACAGCCACTGAAGGAGACAAGGAATCTGGGTCAAGGTCGGAGGTCCGGCTGGGCGGGAAGGACTAACTAAGCGGAGGTCACAACCAGGGCTGGATGAGAGTCTCAGTTGAAGCCAGGGCCATTGGTGGGAGCAGGGCCAGAGGCCAGCGTACCTGTAAACAGCTTTGGATAGTTCCTGAAAGAAGAAAAGGAGTCCTGGAGTGGAGTGATAATGCCCTGCAGGGTCCCTATCATGACATTCAGCCCAAAGGTCAGCAACATCAGGAAGTAGAGGACGGTCCAGAAGACAGACCCAGGAGCGAATGACATGGCTTCAATGAAGGCCAGGAATGCAAAGTTTGGGCCCTCCTTAACCTGTTAATGTTAAGGGGGAAAAGGCAGGAGTTAAAGTGTCCTCGAACTTAACATCAATACAGATAAAGATACACTCTACCTTCTCTGGAAAACACCAAGCTGACCCTCTGACATGGAAAACCACCTAGCATTAGCCATGGAAGGGCATTCTGCAAGCTACAGTTCTTTGCATTACCACAGTTGCAGGTTACCCTGGTGCTTCTGGGACTTTTTTTTTTTCTGGTGCTAGTAAGAAAAGATGAAATTTCTGTTTTACAGAAGGCATTAAGAAACTCTCAGCCCAGCTTACCTAGTTTTACTGACCTTCAAAAGCTGCTTCTCTAAGCTGCACTCAGCAATGTGGCTGAGGACCATGCTGCTGATGGGCGGGGACAGGCTGCTGAGCCAGGCAGAAAAGAGGGCAGTAGGGTTGGCGGCCAGGTTGGCCGGGGGCTGCGCGTCAGGAGGCAGTTTCCCCAGGGTTACCAGGCTGGAAAGTGTTTCGGCGTTCCTGGGGAAAAGAGGTGAATCACGTAGAACCGTTTAGCTCCTTAGGACACCGCCTCCTTTGCCCTTACCTCCCAGATAAGGACATCACTAGGCCAGCATTACTGGTCTGGGTAAGGTAGAGCCTGGGATGAAACTGAAAAGGCACCCACCTTCAGGGTCACGAATTTGTGTAAACCTGGAGAATTTATAACCATGGGGGACTCTTGGGGAAGCCTTTCCTTTCATCTTCTTGGGGACTCTGGGGGGCCCCTGCTCTAGTGATGAAGCCTCTTATTCACTCCCGACCTCTCCCCTTCCTCCCTTCTTAGACTAGTAGCTAAATGCCAACCTTCCAGGCTTTGCACACAGAGTATCAGGGAGCCCCGTGTACTTAGGTGACGTGCGCATAGTTCTCCCATGGAGTTGTGCTATGAGAGAGAACCTGCTTCTTGGACTTTTTTGTAGGTCCCTAAGGCTGAGACCCTCAACTAAGCGGCTGGCCTCACTTCTCATTGCAGCGGTGCGTGATGATTGTGGCCCAGAAGCCGAGGACGCAGAAGATAGAAGGTGTGGCAAGCATCATGGAGCCCAGGTTGACCGCAGCCACAACAAAGGCATCATTGAGACAGTTGTTAGACGGGTCCATGTACGAGGATAAAGAGACAATGGGGCCAAAGCCGAGTCCCAAGGTAAACAAGACTTGGACCCCCGCATGGCACCACACACTCACGTCGTACAGAGACGATATCTAAACAGGAGAAGGCAAGAATGAGAAAAGATGTCAAAGAGGAGGAGAACTGTAACAAAATAAGGAGAGGGGGTGGACACAGAGGGAGATAATGGGGAAAGGACACCTGAGAATAGACAACAGGTATCCTCCGAGGCCTGACAGAAGAGTGAGGAAGATATTCTTTACCTTCAAAACCTTCAAATTTCCAAGGCCAAATACTGCTCCTTCCAGCAGTGGAACCCGGATGAGAAAACAGATCATGATTAAATAGGGCACTGGCACCAAGACATACATAACCTGGATTGAGAGAGGGGTGCGTCAGTGACCACGTACCAGTGGGGGTCAACCAACAGTCATCAGGGGTCAAAAGCTCTGAGTCAGAAATCAGGAGAGATGGGAAGACGGCTTTCAGCAGGGTTCAGGGGCTAGCGGGAGTGGAAGGCCAGAGGGAGTGAGACATCAGAAGATCAAAAAGTAATCATTTAGGTGGGGGTTAAAGTATCTGAGACTGTTACGGAATTCAAAAATGGCGACTCACCTTCCCGATGGACTTGATCCCATTAATCATGAAAACACCAACAAGACACAAAGACAGCAGAAAGGGCACACACAGACTGAAGACTGGTGGCCCACCATCCTCAATCCTGTCTGAGACCTTCAAGGCCATCCGGTACCAGAAGTACATGGAGGGCGTCGTCTGTTCACATTCAGGATCTACGGGCATCTGGCTTTGGACACGCTTGCTAGACAGGGCGACCCTTCCCTCCGCATCAGCACTTCCCCCACATCCTTCTCGTCTCACTTCTTCCTCCTCCTCCTATCTGCCTCTTCTTTGCCCCTCCTCACTCCTCTTCCAAATCCCCTTCCCCTCCTCACCAAAGGCACTGGAGTTCTTCAGTAGAGGACAATGCTCCCATGGGATGGAATACTTGAAGGACTGGCCCAAGTAGGTGAGGATCCAGGCATTGAACACATTCAAGTACAAGCCAGCGATGAAGCACACCTGTCGGGCCAGGGAGGCGGTGTCTGGGGAGGAACGATGGGGACAGGAAAAAGGAGGGAATTTGACAGAGGAGTGGGGGACTAAAGGGACCTGACTCATGCAAGTGGTATCAGGGGACAAGGGCTGGGCTAGGGCGGGGTGTGAAGGGTAGACCTGGGCAGCCCAGGGCTCCTCACCATGAAGCTGGTGCACCCCAAACCACCAACCCAGGGGCCGATGGTCTTCCACATGCCAATGCTGCTCTGGCGCATCCGCTGACCGATGGCCATCTCCAGGAAGAGGAGAGGAATCCCAATCAAGAGCAGCAAGAAGATGTAGATGATGAAAAAACTCCCTGTGCAGGGGATTTAAGGAGGGAACCATCCTGGACTTCTTTGGAAGTCCAGAAAAGCACACCCCCAACCCGTGATGTCTCTTAAAACTACAGGCCTCAAGACTCAACTATTTCCACATCCTTCACAGTCCCATGAGTCCAGTCCCTTGGCCCCCAGTTCCTGGAAGACCCAGTAAAGTCCTTCCCACCTCCAGCCCTGATACAGACTTCTAGCCCCACCATCCTCACGTTCAGGTACCCTGCACCTCTACCTCTCTCAGGATCCTCGGTGTTCAGGCCTCGCCTCCTATCCTGCTCAGATTGCCAAGTCTCCAGCCACTACAGATCCCAGACACCTTGGAGTTTGAAGCCTGGTTAGGCTTCCATCTTGCTAGCCCCTTGTGGACCCATGGTCCCTGGTCCCCAGACTTACAACCTCCATTGTGAAGCCACAGGTAGGGAAAACGCCAAAGATTGATGGCCCTCACGGAGTAGCCCACCTGGGTCAGGATGTACTCAACCTTGTTGGACCAGAGTGGACGGATGAAAGGGGCCTCACTCTTCTTCTTCTTCTCTGGCACCTTCACCTTCTTAATTGAGGGTTTCCGTTTCAATGGCTGGGCAGCTTGCAGCTGCACTGCAAAGGTCTGCTTGGGTTGGGTGCCCCTTCTCTGAGCCTCACGAGCCTGAGTCTCCCAGGCCTCAGCCTTCGCAACTCGGGTTTCCAAAGCCTGGGTGTTTGAAATGCAGGCCACCATGGATCCTGGGCCCACATTTTCCCAAGCTTGGCTTCCTGGGAAACTCTCTAAAAGGGATGAGTCAGTAGACGAGGCTTTTGTCAGTGAAAATTCTGAAGACTGGGCCTCTGTCTTCACTCCAGGCAGACCCTCTAGAACAGCTTCTGCATTTTTATGGGAGGGTCTGCCTTCCTGAGCAGACCTTAAGGACACCAAATGAGATTTTAGATTTTAGATTCAGGGAATGACTGAGTTTCAAAATAATCCTCGACACCTCCTTAAAGCAAACCTTTCATTTCTGTCCCTACCACCACTAAAGTTCAAAGCCCACAAAATACTCTTGCCTAAGTTTTAATCCTTAGAAATGCTTTGGTGCAAGGGATATGGGTAAAGATAGACAAGCTAACAAGAGTCAGGAATCTTGCTCAATGAGTTTCTGAAAACACCAGGGGTTACCCCTGCAGAAGGAGATACCATTTTCAGTGGGCTTTTGAATCAAAGAGACTTATTTAATATCAAATCTGCCTTGTAACCTTAGGGAAGTTGTTTTCCCTCTCTGAGCTTTCTCATCTGTAAAACACCCAGGTCTCTGCTCAGATATCGCCTCACCAGTGATGCCTTCCTTGCCCACCTATCTGAAATTGCAGCCTACCTGCCCTGGCTGGTGTGGCTCAGGGGGATGTGTGCTGACCTATGAGCTGAAAGGTGTCCGGTTCAATTCCCAGTCAGGGCACATGCCTGGGTTGCCGGCAAGCCAGGTCACCAGTTGGGGGTGTGCGAGGGGCAGCTGTTAGATGTATCTCTCGCACATCAATGTTTCTCTCCCTCTCTTTCTCCCTCCCTTCCCCTCTCTCTAAAAATAAATAAATAAGAATAAAAAATATATAATAACGGCCTACCTATCCACTACTCTCTTCATCCTACCCATTTTTACTTTTCCTCACAGCATTACTCACCTCCTGATGTTATTAACTGTTGATTGTTCATCTAGTTATTGCCTCTCTCCCCCCTCCTCCCCAGCTGCTTTATGCCCAGCAAGAGGACGATGCTCTACCTCATGCCTGGGACCACTCTCCTCTCTGCTCTCTGTATTTCCATCACTCTGATCTTTGGTTGGCTCCTCAAATACTCTAAAAATGAATGGGCAGGGAGCGTGCTGAAAAAGAAAAGAAGTAAATAAAAATAGGACGTGACAGGTTTCCTAATCAATTCTAGTAAATACTTAAAGAAGAAATTATACTAATTCTCTACAATCTCTTTCAGAGGATGGAAGCTGAGGGACTACTTCTTAACTCATTCAACAAGACCAGCATTACCCTAGCACCAAAAACAGACAAAAACATTACGGAAAAGAAAGCTACTGAACAATATCTCTCATGAACAAAGATACAAAAATACTCAACAAAATATTAGCAAACTTAATCCAACAACATATAAAAAGAATTATACAAAAGAATTTTAAAAAATGTACAATCAAGTGGGATTTACCCCAACTATACAAGATGGTTCAACAGTCAAAAATCAATTAATGTAATCTGGCATATTAACAAGCTAAAAAAGAAAAATCATATAATCGCATCAAGAGATGCAGAAAAAGTTTTTGGCAAAATTCAACACCCATTGATGATAAAAACTATATCAGTAAACTAGGAAAAATGAGGAACTTTTTCAACTCAATAAAGGATACTTATAAAAACCTACAGCTGACACTACATTTAATGAAACTAGAAGCTTTCCTACTAAGAGCAAGAACAAGGCAAGGATTCCCCTCTCACCGACTCCTTTTCAACATCGTACTACACGTCCTAGCTAATGCAGTAGGACAAGAAAAGAAAAAAAAGACATACACATTGGGAGAGAAGAAATGAAGCTGCCTTTTTTCACAGATGGCATGACTGTCTATGTAGAAAACCCAAAAGAATTGACAAAAATGTCCTGGAACTAATAAGCTATTACAGCGTATTTGCAGGATACAAGGTTAACACACAAAAGTCAATCACTTTCCTACATAAGAGCAATGAACAAGTGGAATTGGAAAACAAAAACATAATTCTATTTACATTAGCACCCCCAGAATGAAATAGGTATAAATCTAACAACATATGTTCAAATCTCATGAATTGAATAACTCAGTATTACTAAGATATCGGTTTTTGCCAACTTCATCTATAGATTCAATGTAATCCCAATCAAAATCCCAGCAAGTTATTTTATGGATATCAACAAACATTCTAAATTTACATGAATATTCAAAATACCCAAAATAGACAACATAACACTGAAAGAGAAAAACAAAGTTAGAGGACTGATACAACCTGACTTCATACCTACTATACAGCCACAGTAAACAAGAAATACAGCATTGGCAAAAGAATAGACAATTAGATCAATAGAACAGAGAGTCCAGAAATAGACCCACAACTGACCTCTACAAAAGGAGCCAAGGCAATGCAATGGAGCAAAGATAGTCCTTTCAACAAGCGGTTCTGGAACAACTGGACATCCACACTCAAAAAATAATCTAAACACAGACCTTACACCCTCCACAGAAATTAACTCAAAATAGATCACAGACCTAAACGTAAAGTGCAAAACTACAAAACTCCTAGAAGATAACATAGGAGGCTCCTGGCCGGCATGGCTCAGGTCAGTTGGTTGGGCGTCCTTCTGCAAAGCAAAAGGTCACCAGTTCGATTCGGGTCAGGGTATATGCTGGGTTGAGGGTTTGGTTCCCACTTAGGGCACATGCAGGAGGCAACCTGTCGATGTTTCCCTCTCACATTGATGTTTCTCTCCCTCTCTTTTTCTCTCTCCTTCCCTCTCTCTGGAATCAATAAAAGAAAATAAAAAGGAAGTGTCTTCTAGGAAACATGGTTATATGAACATCAATGTCCAAACGTACCCACAATCTTCCTAAGCCCAAGAAAAAAATAAGTATGATTTTAAAATATTAAGAATATAGAGATATCGGCAGCATTTCTGAAAAATAGTTTGCATCTTCATGCCAAAAACAAAAATAATTCTGCTACATACACAATAGACAGGACCAAACTGTAGTCACTGAGGGGTTAATTCACATCGATCCTCCCTGATAAGAGTGGTTCAATGTTTGAGGAAGTCAGTTATACTTTTCCAGGCAGCTTATTGGAGAGAGAAAAACAACTCCTCTCCAAAGCCCTCCACGGTGGTGATCTCACAGCTTCCAGCTGTGTCGCAGAGGGTGCAGACCCCTGAGCCACTCCACAGCAAAAGTCAAGGGTTACTACGCTCCCTGAGACCAACAGTGCTGCTGCAGTATTAAGAAGAAGCACTCATTTGAACCACAAGTGTTCAGAGCTGAAGAAAAAATTAACTAGAAAAACCCAGCCTTTGGCACAAGATCTTTAATTAAGAAGAAAAAAGTGGGAGCCTTGGTTTATGTGGCTCAGTGGATTGAGCACTGGTCTGCAAACCAAAGGGTCGCCGGTTTGATTCCCAGTCAGGGCACCTGCCTGGGTTGCAGGCCAGGTCCTCAGTTGGGGGCATGTGAGAGCTGACCGATGGATGTCTCTCTCACATATGGATGTTCCTCTCCCTATTTTTCTCCCTCCCTTTCCCTCTCTCTAAAAAAAGTAAATAAATGAAATCTTTAAAAAAAAGGAAAAAGAAAAAAGTGGGAAATCCTAGAGAGATGAAGAGTGTGGTGTTGTCATGGCCCCAGCCCGCTCCACTATCCATCAGAGAGCTCAATCACTACACAGGAATATAAATTTAGTTAGTGAGCCCTCAAGCTTATGATCTGGGAACAGCATTCTACGCTAAGCATTGGATGATCAACAGGGATACAAAAAGAAAGTTATGCCACGCAATTTTTAGACAAGAAACAAGCTAGGACCAATCTGTCTTCATTCAAAGACAAAGAAAAAGAAAAAAAAAACCCCACCAATTCAGAACTTAATACATGTACATACACGCTTCCTGAAAAACAACAACAACTCAGTGTCAGCTAAGATATCAAGCAAAATAATCATTGTCATATAAATGGTCTGGTGATAGGAACAGAGAAAAATAATAATACCAATTATTCAGGAAGTGTCCACTATACTTCACTGCAATAAACACAGGCATACATTGGCGATACTGCGGGTTTGGCTCCAGATGGTCGCAATAAAATGAATATTGAAATAAAGTGAGTTATAACCTTTTTGCTGCCAGACAGTCTTGCCTTCAATTTGTAAAATATGTATATCTGCTTACCTAAGAAGCACAAATCTTCGGTATTACTAGATATTTTGCCAGCAGCTGAAATGGAACATACCTCAAAATAACAAGGACTTCCAATTCTCATAATTCATGTTGTTAACACGGGCCCTGGCTCAGTGCGCCACTAAAAAAAGGGAAATTGTACTCATGAAAAATATATCCGCCTTTCTTGAGCATATTCAAAAAGTTTATTCCTTAAAACAAGTTTTCGGTTTTTTGTTGTTGTTTTTGGTTTTGTGTGTGTGTGTGTTTGGGGGTTTTTTTTTTGTTTGTTTTTTGTTGTTTTTTTTTTTCTGGTGGTGGTGGTTGTTTTGGTAAATTCAGTAGAACTGAGTTTTGGCAAACTGAGATTCTGCAAACTGGTCGCTCGGGACACCTCTAAAGCCCTGGGTTTCTGGCTGACGCTTCTTCCCAAGCCGCAGAGCCCCGGTGACGGCCCACTGTTTGGACCCGGCAGCGTCCGTCCCGACAATTGCGCCCCTGGGCCCGCGCCGCCTCGGGAGTGCTCGGCTCCCCCAGAAACGTCCGCTTCCCTCCTTCCTCGGAACGAGACGTTCCAAGGCGGAAAGGCAGGAGCCGCTGTCCGTGTTCCGCAAGGCGCAGGCAACAGCTGTTGGTCCCCAACAGGCCTGTGCCGGGTTTGGCCCCAGGGTCTGCTGCCTGGGAACGTAAACCAGGCCTTGGAAGTGGCTCCTGGTCAGAGTCGGTGAGCAAAGGGCCTAAGGCCAGCTTCCTGGGCCCCCGGGGGGAGCAAAGGACGGACTGTTCGGGCCTCTTTGATCCCTCGGTTCCACAGAGGCGGAGACGGCTGGGAGGCTCCAGGGCCGCGGCCTATCACTCCTCGAAGTGCCGCCCAGCCTCACACACCCCCGATCTATGATGGTTTTGGGAATCCCTAGAGCCAACTCATCCTCACCCTAGCCTCGGGGTCCGGCCTCTTCAGTACTGTCAGTGAGGCAAAAACGAGAGTGAAGAGGCCTCCACTGAGAAGCCGAGCGACTACCTCAGGCCGCTTCAGGCCTCGTGAGGCCGGCTGACTGGACGCTCCTCGCTGGGCAGCAGCCTCCGCCTTTCTTGCAGTTCCTCTGCGCATGCGCTCCCTCGCGTGCCTCCCACGTGACTTAGCAGCCGATTCTGTCCCTCTGCCCTTTACAACCCCCTCCCTCCCACGCTCGCATGATACACACACACGCCCAAGGGTCCGCCGCCCACGCATGCGCTTTTGCTTCTCTCACTTCACTCTTTGGACCACAGGTCCGACTCCCTTCCCTCCCCCTCATATCTCTCTCTCTCTCTCTCTCTCTCTCTCTCACAGTGGAGCGTTATTCAGCCAGAAAAAAGGAAATCCTGCCATTTACAACGACGTTGATAAAACTGGAGGGCATTATGCGAGGTGAAAGCAGCCAAAGACAAAATGTTGCTTCTTTTTGAGATCTAAAAAAAATACACTTTATTCTCTAAATATTTATTTCTATTACATATTTATTTTCTATATAATGTATTATGTACTTATTTTATATATATAGATATCATGTACTATATATGTGTGTGTGTGTATATATGTATATATGAACAGTAGAATAGTGGTTGCCAGGGGCTGGAAATGGGGTGATATAGGTAAGAGGGTGCAAACTTCCAGTTATAAGAAGAATAAGTTCTAAGGACCTAGTTTACAGCACAGTGCCTATAGTTCATAATACAGTATTGTTTACTGGAAAGTTGCTAAAAGTAAATCTTTGGTGTTCTCACCACACACACACAAAGTTAACTATATGAAATGATGAATCTGTTGATTATCTTAAGTTCCATAATCATTCCACAATGCATATGGTTATCAAATCATCATATTGTACACCGTATATACAGATTTGTCAATTACTCCTCAATAAAACTGGGGAAGGGAAGCCCAGGGTCAAAAATCAGAACTTAGTATTAATATGAATTGATTTTTGATGACAATAAGAAAACAAATTGCATTTTGAGGCTTAAAAATTTTTTTTAAAAAGGGCGGGTGGATAACAGCCCTGGCTGATGCGGCTCAGTAGATTGAACACTGGCCTCCCGACCAAAAGGCTGCTGGTTCGATTCCATCAGAGCACATGACTGGGTTGCGGGACAGGTTCCCATTTGGGGGTGACCAAGAGGCAACCAATCAATGTATCTCACACATCAGTGGTTCTCTCCCTCTCTTTTTTCCTTCCCTTCTCCTCTCTCTGAAAATAAATAAATAAAATCTTTAAAAAAAAAAAAAAAAAGGATAAGTCCTGACCTGGTAGCTTGGTTGGTTAGAGTGTCATCCCAGGATGCCAGTTTCCAGTTCAGTCCCCAGTAGGGGCACAGACAAGACTCAACCAAGAGGCAGAAAAAAAAGGCGGGGCTCAGCGGACTGAGTGCTGGCCTGCTAAGGTTGCTGGTTCCATGCTTCCCACGCACTTCGATGTTTCTCTCCCTCTCTTTCTCCTTCCCTTCCCCTCTCTCTAAAGATTTTATTTACTTATTTTTTTAGAGAGAGGGAAAGAGAGGGAGAGAGGGAGAGAAACACTGATGTTTGAGAGAAACATGAGTTGGTTGCCCCTCGCATGCCCCCAGTTGGGGAACTGGCCTACAACCCAGGCATATGCCCTGACTAGGAATTGAACTGGCAACCTCTTGGACCGCAGGCCAGTGCTCAGTCCCCTGAGCCACACCAGCCAGGGCTAAACAAAATCTTTTTTTAAAAAATCGACCAATGAACACATAAATAAGTGGAACAACAAATCGATGTTTCTCTCTCTTCCCCCTCTCTAAAATCAATCAATAAATGAATAATTAAAAAAAAAAAAAAAAGAATAAATGAGATCTCTCAGAAGAGAGATCCCTAAGAGGGGCTGGTTTTGCAGGCCTTGGGTGGATGTCGGGATGGTAGGAACATCCCTGAGCTACGCTGGAAACCTGTGAGGATTTGGGACTTGGCAAGAGTGGGGAGCCTGTGGGGCACCCGGGGAGGCTTCGCAGGCTGCTGGGCGTGCAGCTCAGGCCTAGAGGCTCCTCAGGGACGGCAAACCTGGATCTAACCGCCAAGGTCCCGCTGCCCAATCCTGACTCCTCCGGGGCCTCCACCTCCGGGCTGGGCCCCACTGCAGAGGCAGGAAGTAATGCCTGAGGCTCAGCTTCCGCTCCGGGTGTTTTGGCGCTGCCCAGCCACTCCTCTCACTCCCGGGGACCTTCCCACTGGGGCCTGCTGCACTTTCACTTCCCCCAGGTGCCCAGTCCCTGCCCCTGCACAGGGGAGCACCTGGTCCTCACTCTTGCCAAAAACAGGATGCAGACTCTGAGAGAGGAGCAATGACAGAAAGTGGGGGCCAGTAATCAACAGAGAAAGGAGGACAGGCTTGCAGAGAGAAGCGTCCAGAAGCCCAGAGAGGGAAAGGATAGAGACCCTGAGGTTGGGGGAGACAGAAACCCAGAGAGGGACAGAGACTCAGAGAAGAAATACAGACTCAGAGAGAAGGGAACAGAGACCCACAGAGGAGAGGACAAGAGACTCAGGAGCAGGGACAGGGAATAGAGATAGATGCAGAGACGGCAGAGCCTAGCAGGCAGTGAGGTCAGAGTGTCTGTGAGGTCGGCTGCTGTCCAGGGCCAGCAGGGGTCCTGGTGCCCAGAGTGAGTGGGTACAAGTAGATCAGGAGTCCCTGTGGGTCCCCCCAGCCTGAACCATGACGACCTTGGAGGAACTGCCCCATGTGTTCTTGGTGTCCACAAATTCCAAAACCCCTCAGGTACTGGTGTGTGTGTCCCAGTGGAAGACAGGGCGAGGGAGACGGGGACAGAGACAGAATCAAACCACCTTGTGCGTAGAGGGAGGGGGTGGGGCTCCACCCCTGGGCACTTCCTCTTTCTCTGTGTTCTTCCTTTCTCTCTATCTCTCAGCTCCTGCGGTTCAAGGCTTCTTTTCTCCCTCTCTCCCCACTGCCAACTTCTCTTCTGGTCACTCACCCCTCCAGGCGAAGATGTCGGCCCAGGAAAGCTGCCTCAGCCTCATCAAGTACCTCCTCTTCGTTTTCAACCTCTTCTTTTTCGTGAGTTGTCTCCTGGCTACCCAGCCCGGGCCGTCCCTGCCGCAGCCGCCCCACCTTGTCTTCCTGCTCGCCCACCACCACGTTCTCTCCTCCTCTCCCCAGGTCCTAGGCGGCCTGATTTTCTGCTTTGGCATCTGGATCCTTGTGGACAAGACCAGCTTCGTGTCATTTGTGGGTGAGGGGGCCGGGGCAGTCAGGGAGGGCCTTCCTGGGGCACGCAAGGACCCAGCCTCCCCGCAAGTGGCCTCCTGGGGTCTCCCTTGTCCCAGGGAGCCCTGCAGCACCCAACTCCCTAGGCACGCCCCAGGCTGTGCTGCAAAGCTCACCACTGCCGCGCCTCTCCAAGCCTCAGTGTCTTCCTCTGACAAATGAGTTGTCCATTCCGCTAATAACAATAGCCATTTCTCAGCACTTCCTATGTGTCAGATCTTGTGCAGACACTCATCAGACCCTCCCACAAACCTCTCCTGAGGTTTAGAGTGGGGAAGTCACACATGGGTGTCACACAGCAAGGAAATAAAAGCGCAGATATAACACTAATAATAATAGTTGGAAAGTGATAATGGGGTCCTAGCCGAACTCCTGACGGCTCGTATTGAGTAAGTGCTCACCCTGTGTAGGGGACTGGGTTGAACACGCCTCCCGGGCTCCCCTCAGAACAACCCCAGGAAACAGATGTCATTATCCCTCAGGCCTCAGGGAGGTTAAATGGCCTGATCCAATGTCACAGAACAAGGGATGGGGCTGAAACTACTGGGAGAAGGAGCTGAAGGAGGAAAGAGACTGAAAGCAAGGAGAGACTGGCAGCTGAAGGGAGGAAGGGGGACAGAGACTCAGAGAAGGAGAGTATCCCAGGAGAGAGGGACAGAGGCTCAAGGTGGGGCAGGGGTGCCAGGAGCCCAGAGAGAGGTGCCCTCAGGATTCTGCTCCCCACTCCGTGCGTGGGGAATGGGTCTGCCTGGAGTTGTGCGTGTAAGACCCAGTGTCGCTGCCTCTCATCTCTCCCAGGTTTGTCCTTCATGTCCCTGCAGATCTGGTCCAAGGCCCTGGCCATCTCAGGCATTCTCACCATGGGCCTGGCCCTCATGGGCTGTGTGGGGGCCCTGAAGGAGCTCCGCTGCCTCCTGGGCCTGGTGAGTGCCCCGCCCCCACCCCATCCCCTGGGACCCCTCCCTTTCCCCCCTCAAATAGAACCCCTGTATCCTGGGGAGGGGCTCAGCCTGACCGTTCCTCTCTGCCCCTCAGTATTTTGGGGTACTGCTGCTCCTGTTTGTCACGCAGATCACCCTGGGGATCCTCATCTCCACTCAGCGGATTCGGGTGAGCTTGCCTGTCCCCCCCCACCCCTGACAACCAGTGGGCGGGGGGTGGGGCAAGAGAAACAGAGGCAGACAGAGACTGACACAGACGGAGAGAAAGGAGAGAGAACGTCAGGAGAGAGAACCCGAGCCACAAAGAACAGATACAGAGACGAACAGAGAGACACAGAGGTAGGGACAGAGAAAGGCAGAGAAACACCCACACGGAGGAAGACAGACATAGCAAGAGTCGGAGATCGAAAGGGAAACGAACAAACAAAAAGGAGGGGGGAGAAAACACGCGGAGATAGAGAGGCTCTGATGAGACCGTGGGAAAAAGTGAGAGAAACAGAAACACGATAGAAATGGGCAGAGAGAGGTTTTGAGGAACAAAGACGCAGGTAGTTGTTCAGTGAGGAACCGATGCCAGCATAAAGATGCTCAGGGACCCCTTGGGACTGAGATAGCCAGGAGTGGCCGTAGTTGGTCGGGCGCAGAGGGGGTAGGGAGGTAGGTGGGGCCCACCCTAACTCTCGGCCTCTCAGCTGGAGCGGAAGGTGAAGGACATCGTGCAGGAGACGATCCAAAACTACTACTCCGACCCCGAGAACACAGAGGCGGAGGAGAGTTGGGAATACGTACAGTTTCAGGTGTGTGAGGCCCCCGCCCGCCCCGGGGGAGTAACCCTCCCTCTGGCTCTGGGACTCCAATGTGGCTCCACCCTCTACCTGGAGAACGCTGCCCAGTTCCGGTACCCTCCTGTAACCCTATCTACCCACCTCGCCCACCGCCGCCCCCGACATGGCCTCGCATGCAGAAGAAAACTGGCCCCGATGTGGCCCGGTTGCCCATCCAGACCCTGGAAGGGCTTCGTCCTCTGCCTTGGCAAGACTCCAGCCTCAGCTTCAGCCCCAAGGCCCTAGCGTGATCCTACTCCCTGCCCCTAGTGCCTCTGGTTCCCACGGGGTCCAGCACACGTGAGGCTCCATTCCTTGATCACTCACCTGACCCCGGCCCCCCATCCACCTGCCCCCTAAGTGAGGCTGAATGGCACTGCCCACCCAGTCTTCTGTCCCCAGCATGATCCTGCTGCAGCTTCTCCCCAGCGGCAGATCGCCTTGTGATTTGTCTCTCCCAGCCCCATGTTCCCTTAATGTCCCCTGGTTCTGGCCCCGTCGTGACCCCAGCCCAGTCCACTGTCCGCCGTCCTGCACACCACGACTCAGCCCTCTGCTCCCAATGTGATCTCATACCATCGCCTGGTCTTCCCAAGTAATCTTGCATCCCTCCAGTCCCGGTCCTTCTGACTCTGTCTGTCCCTCTCCCAGCTGCGCTGCTGCGGCTGGAACTCTCCTCAGGACTGGTACCGTGTCCCCAGCCTGAGCAACAACGAATCGGACTCGTACAACGTGCCCTGCTCCTGCCGTAACTTATCGGTGGCAACCAATGACTCCTCAGTCTTCCAGAAGACTCCCTCCTCCCAGTTGAGCCGAGACGGACCACTAGCGCGGCCCGGACAAAAGACAGGCTTTTGTGTGGTCCTTGCAAACAGCTACACCTATCGCGAGGTAGGAAGGGGAGCGGCCCACCTAAGGGGCGTAGGAAGGGGCGTGGTCCCCAGAAAGGGGGCACCAGAGCATATGGGCAGGATCTGCAGGTGGGGTGGGGCTACGAGGTAAAACTGTACCACAGGAGGGGCGGAGCTCATAGAAGATGGGGTGGGCTCAAAGAAAAGGCCAGGCTAGACAAAAGGGGTGGGCCTCGGTCGTCGATGTAGGGAGGGGCAGGCTTGTTCCGAGCGCAGAGACTAGACTATGCTGGACACTAGGGAAGAGGGGCGAGAGCGAAGCCCAGAAAAAGTTCTAACGTTAACCTTTCTCTGCATTCCCAGGGCTGCTCGAGGAACCTGCAAAAGTGGTTGCACAACAACCTTATCTCCATTGTGGGCATCTGTCTTGGTGTCGGTCTACTCGAGGTAATCTGGTCCCACCCTCACTCGCCATTAGCTGTACAATCCTCAAGTAGCCCCGCCCCAAACTACAAGTCCTCTCGGTGCAAGTCACCTGAGTGTTAGAGCGTCAGCCAACACAGGCTGGTCCACCGCTGCACCTGCTGCGAGACCCAGCCTGTGAGGTCTGATTGGTTGCACGCAGGAAGCTACCCCTTTCTCGTGAGGATCCCATTAGTTCTCCTCAGCGACCAACCTCATCATTGGCCGCAATATCCCTCCCTTTCCCGGCAGGTGAGTGTGGCAGGGCTGAGCCTGCTACTGCCGCGCAGAGCACTCCTTAGGGAACCGCAACCGCAGGTGCCTGGCGCCGAGGGTTCGTGCCCCGGGCCCCGCCCGAGCGCTGATGGCGGCAGTGGGCGCGGTGGTGTGCCGAGCAGCAGCGGGCGGAGCGGCAGTCTGTGGGGTGGCTGGGGCATGGCGGATGCTTGCCCCAACTGGGGGGACAGGGCCCCGCAGAGCAAGCTGCCCATGGCCCTGGGGCCCTGGCCGCTTTGGGATCAAGATGTGGAACAGCCTGAGACACGGAGCACTGGAGCAGAGGCGGAGGCTGAGGTGGAATTAGAGGCGGAGGCAGAAAGGGAGACAGACCAGTCTTCAAAATAAAGGACCCTGGGCTTGCTCCTCATTTCACTCCTTTCCAGCCTCTAGACCTGTGTTAGGCGCAGCTGGACTCCTCCCAGTGCACCCTGTTCCCGCCTCTCCACATCTTTGGTGGCCTAGACCATCTCCAGCCCTTCTACCCCTAACTCCACCTTTCTCATCTTCCTCCAAACTCTCATCCTAGACCTTGTCTCTACAACCAGGCCAAATTCTCTCTCGAGCCCCGCCCCACCCAATTCTTGGCCTCATTTTCTTGCCCGGTCCCACCCCCTGACTTTCCTCCCTTAGAACCCCCACCACCTCCCCTCCCTCTCTTCGCCACCCCCTCGACGTCTCTGATAGCGTCTCCTTTCTCTATAGCTCAGCTTCATGTCGCTCTCCATATTCCTGTGCAGAAACCTGGACCAAGTCTACGACAGGCTCGCCCGGTACCGCTAGGGCTCGCCCTCCCCTAGACCCACCCGGACCCCTTCCCTGCCCCCTGTAAATATTTGTTTAATCCCCAGTTCTTCCCAGCCATTGAGCCCTCTGATTTGTCACCCCCCCCCTCCACCTCCGGGGACCCAGGTGGCTGCCTGCCCCAGTGCTGTCACCAATCTCGTGGGACCTGGGGCCTCCTGCCACCAGCTTCCTGCCCCCAAAGATACCTCATTTCTTTGACTCATCTGTCAGCCTACCACTTCCCACAAGATTATTTTCACCCAAACCTCAAATAAATCCCCTGAGTTTTTGGTAAAATAGCTTTATCCTCTGTCAAAACACAAACCAACACAATTTGGGGTTGGGAGGTCAGGGCGGGGGGTGGTGGACAGTACAGTAGCCCATGGCTCATGCAGAAGAGGGGGGTGACATTAACAAGCCTCACCCCACTGCTTGCCCAGCGGAGAAACAAGTCACGATTCTAACACCCACTTATAAATATCTCTTGTTATATTTAAAAAAAAAAAAAATTTCCAGGGCCCAACTGGCTCTGCTCCTGCACAGAAAGGGTTAACCTTCAATATTTGATATCAGGGTCCCAGGGTGTGGGAGCGGTAAAGAGAGGCAGATTGGGAAAGTGGTGGGGGCTGAAAAACAGAGAGATGGACAAGCCAACGTGTAAGTGGGGCCTCCAAAACATCCCGAACAGAGCGGGGCAGGGCGCCTGGTAAAGACCGAGAAACCAGTGCTGTTCCCGCAGGGCTGCTCCAGGCTCCAGTCCCCTGTCCCTGACGCGCCGGAGTGATCTGTCCCTTCACACACCCCTGTGAGGTCCCCATGTCAGGATCCCTCCTTTCCTCTCAGTCCCAGCCCATTCAACTCACCACCCAGCTTTCACGGTCCCTTCTAACAGGGAGCAGCCCCCTCCCCAAATATGAGGCCTGAGGAAAGCTGGAGGTCCTTCCTGGGAGGAGGGTATTCCAGGGGGGAGCCACTTCGGGGGTCCCCCTTCAGTCCCTGACCAGGCGGTAAATGTGGTGCTGGGCCCCCCGCTCACTGGTGGAGACTTCAAAGACGTAGGCAGTGCAGAGCAGCAGCTCCTGGGTGTCTCTGTTTGTCACCACCTGCCAAGGAGGCCAGGAGAAGGGGTTTGTGCTCGGAAGGGAGGGAAGGGACCACCATGCGCCACCTCAGTTATCACGGGATACCCAGGAGAGGGGTTCCCACCATGTCACGTGCTCCAGATGAAAGAGGGCCCCAGGTCAGCACCGTCCCAAAAGTCCAAGGGATCCCACCATCTCAGGTTTCCTGGGCTAAGGTTAGGTTCCCTGTAAAGGGGGTCCCCTTAGCTAAGGACCCACCGTGAATCGTCCTGGTCAGTGTCCCCAGGGAAGAGGGTGTGAATGCTGTGGAGTCCCCACCGCATCAGTTCCCTGGGGAAGGGGATCCCCTAAGCCGAGGGTCAAGAGCAAGGTCCCCACTGTGTCAGCTCCCCAGGTGAAAGGGTCCCTGGGGCCGAGGGTCTGTGGTGGGCACTCCCAGCCCCAGCGTGTCACCTGGAGGATGGTAAAGTTCTCCAGGACGCTGTTCATCATGTAGCGCTCAGGCAGCTGCCGCAGCTTGTGCAAGAAATTCACTAGGTACTCGCACATGGGCGAGCGCAGCAGGCGGTACACGAACCTCCCGTCCTCCAGCTGGGCGCGCTCCGTCTGAACCAGGGTGCGGAGTGGAGAAGACAGTGGCTGAGACACAGAGGGGTCACCCCAGGAACCCAGCCCCCCTCCGTGCCCTTCAGCTGCCACACCCACTCCCCACTGCCGTCTTCCCTCCTCCACGGCCCCATCCGCAGCGACCAGACCCAGAACACTGAACCCTCGGGCACCCAGCTCGGGACCACTAAGCCTGCAAACCAGAGACCACCCCCCAAAAGCCGTGTTCTGACCCCTCCATGCCCTCTGAACTCCTTGGACCTCTAGTATCCCCAAAACCTCCAAAGACACTTCAATGAGGTCTCCAAACTCCATGACCTCTGAACCTGAGACCCCGCACGTCTTCAGCAACCTGTGACCCCTGAGCCTCCCTGACCTATGGATTCTAAATTCCTAAGAACCTTCTGAATCTGGGACTGTCAGTCTCTGCCCCACACATTGCCTCTGAACCCGCACACTGACCCCTACATGTGACTTCAGAACGTCACATTAGCTCGAAGCCTACGCATTAAATCCCCAAAGATGCTGGGACACCCCCCAGTCCAGCATGAAGGCTCCCCCAAGGCCTGAGCTGTAGTGGCTCCTGGTCCATTTAGTCTGTACGCTCAAAGTGCAGGTGGCTGGGTGCTCACGCGCCCGGAGCTCCCCCCTCCGGCCTCACCTCCACCTTCTCCACCACCTGCTTGCCAAAGGAGCAGACCTTGGAGGAACACGTGAGGGTCATGTGCTCCAGGCTCTCATACTGGCTGCTCACGCCATAGAAGCCACCGCTGCTGCCGCCAGCCCCCACCTCCTCGCCACTCGGGCCCCAGTTCAGGTCCGCCTGGGGGATGGGGAGACACAGGTATAAGTTGGAGGGGACGTCCCTTATAAACGGTGGGAACTCTTCTAACATGACAGCTCTGCCCCATGGTCTGGTTTCCCCCATTTGCCCCTGGAGTTGCCCACCTCTCTTCCTCAGCGTTCAAAGTCCCCGCCTCTCCAGGGGCCGGTTTCTGGAGAAGACCCACCTTTCCATCGGTGCTGCAGAAGTCTGAGTCCCCAAAATGACGCTGACCCTCTCTCCCTAGTGAGCCCCCACTAAAGGAGCCCTGGGATTCAACATTTTGCTCCTAAAGCCCTCAACTCAAGGGTCCAGCCCCTTCCAAGGGCCTGATTACTAAGGAGGCCGTCCACTCACTCCCTAGCAACGGGAGGCCCTCCTTCAGAGCCCTTCCCAACCCTGGTTGCTAAGAAAAGGGCCCACTCCCTAGCAAGAGGGCCTGGAGGAGACCAGAATGCTCTCCCTGGCCCTTTCTGCCAATTCTCAGAGGTCAGACCCCTCCATGACCCCTGTGGCCAAGCAGATGGTCCATTATGCCAGGTGGGGTCTAATGGAGCCCAAGGCCTCCTATCACCTGTGGCCTAAGCCGCTGGGTGACCTTCTGGGAAGGCTCACCTCTTCCTCTTCCTCTTCCTAACTTTAAATTTGACCAGGTCACTCTCTGGGGTGGTTCGGTCCTCTCCCCAGAGGCCTGACTCCATCCCTCGCCCTGGCAGCAGGGCCTCGTGAAGCCAGACAAAAACGGAAGCCTTTCCAGCCACTCCTCTGCTCCCCTCTGATGCCGGGCTCCTAAGGTTTGCTCTCCAGACCTGGGACCTGGTGAGGCCTGTTTTAAGCCCTAACAACGCCTAACTCCTCCACAGCACATCCCCAGAGCAGCGTCAGGCCTCCAATTCACAGCCTAGAACCCTTTATAACTGCAGTTACCATGGGTCCAGCAAGGCCAGCAGCCTTCAAGCCCTCAGCAGACTTCCTTCTCAGAGACTAGACCCTTCCTCTCTCCTGGTTACCACAAGAGCTAAAACGCCCTGCTGACCACATTTAGTGAACCTCTATAGCATCAGCCACTGTACTGGACACCAAACCAAATAGGCCTAAGAAAGACCCAGATGGCCCTGGCCGGTGTGGCTCAGTAGATTGAACACCAGCCTGCAAACCAAAGGGTTGCCGGTTCGATCCCCAGTCAGAGCACATGGCTGGGTTGCAGGCCAGGTCCCCAGTAGGGGGCGCTCAAGAGGCAACCACACATTGGTGTTTCTCTCCCTTTCTTTCCCTCTAAAATTAAAGAAAGAAAGAAAGACCCAAATGGACCGTCTTATTCACAATTATATACACAGCACCTGGCACTGTATATAATAAGTGCTCGATAAATGACTTCAATAAAAACAGGTCTTTACAAAGCCACTCCCCAGCTCCTTCAGCGGTAGCCTCGAGGCCAGGCATTCTCTAACGACAGGGTCTGGTGGAACTTAGCATCCCTCTTTAGAGGCCACTCTCCAGGACTCCATTTGCTAAGGGGAGAAGGACCTCCCTTAGCAACAAGGCTTGGTATGGTCAGGTGGAAAGTAGGGAAGTCTGAAATGACACAAGCCAATCCCCAGGGCCATACCAGTCACACGACTGGTGTGTCAGAGTCCAGTGGGATCCGGGGAGGCCCGCGCCCTATCCATCCGCCTGCACTGGTCCCATGCATCCCACCCTGGGGCCTTGTTGCCAAGGGGGCTGATACTCCAAGCCTTAAGGAGCGACAAGGCCCAGGCTGACCTGGAACAGCCAGCGGCCTTAGCGCGGAGGCCACGTGATGTAGGAGCACTTTTGGTTTTGGTGGTGGAACTCACCCAAAACTTGACCAGGAAGAAGGCATGGGGGGGCCCACGATCATACAGCTCCCGCAGACCACCCTTTTTCTCAGGAAATTTGTCATAGATCTGCCGCACGTCCACACTCTCGAGGGGGGGCGCTCCAGGGCTGGGGCAGTGCTGGCTGATGTGGACGAACAGGTGCCTCTGGTACTGCGGAGGAACAGCCACAGGTGAGGGGTGGGGGGTGGGCCGGACCCCCACCCTTGCTGCCCAAGCTGATCTCGCACCCCCTTGCCACCCCCAGAGCTCCTGCCAGCTGTCCCACCGTGTCCACCCAGACACCAGACCCAACTCCCAGGCACTGCCCCCACGCTCTTCTGCCCCTCTGTTCCCACAGTACCTCAGTCCTCAAGCTCTGTCCCTACAGCTCAACTCTGCCCTGTCACCTGCTCTCCATCCTCACAGCCCTGTCCTCTCCCACTTTCATCCCCGTTCCCTGCGTGGCTTCTCAGCCTCCAGTCTCTCCTCCCCAGTTTGTCACACACATGGCTCCACAGCTGACCCTCAACTTCTCCTGCTCATAATCCTCCCATGGCTCCCCAGCGCTCCTAGGACAGCGCCCAAACCCCTCGACCTGGCCATATTTTGAACAGTTGTTCATACATCTTCCATCAATGGATGGATGGATGGATGGATGGATGGATGGATGGACGGGAATCCACACAGCCCACGCCAAGACGTCCTCTCTGTTCCCATTCTTATCACTTCTTGTGCATATCCTGAAATCTTCCCCATCTTTTCTTCAAGTACAAACCCTCCTCCATCTTTCCAGGTCACTCACATCTACCTCTTTCTGGAAGCCTCCACTGATCACACACAGATGGTATCTCTCTACCACCTCCATGGCTCCCCATCACCAAGAGAAGTC